CGCTCAAAGGTCGTCCATAAATCATAGTCTCACCACGAAGTCTACAATGTATGCTATGACTTATCTCTCTATCAACATGTGACGTAATGGTGATACCGGCAATTAAAGAACAGTGGTTTATTGATTGGATCAATGATGTGTAAACTTGTACGAACAGTCTAAAGTTCTTATCGATCCTGCTTCCTACCTAGCCCTGTCTTAATGTTCAGTCCGGAAAACAAATCTCAACCTTCACGAAATGAATCATGAATTTTAAACATATTGGGTTTATATACAAACTGAACAGACTATCATCGCACCATAAAATAGAAAAGAACATTTGTACAATTTCTAGCTAAAAGTGGCCTTGAATGTAAGAAGCCGTTACTAATAAATTGGGAATATCGCAAGAACAGTAAATCGTATGATCATAGTTTATGGGTCGAAATAATAGGAGGAACATGAATGTGTATGGTTTAGTTACTTAACAATTATACAATAAAAATATATGTATAGTGCTAGTCCAGAAATAGATCTCAACAATTACCACCATTCATTATTCTCATCGGGATATAACAGAGTATTATTTATTTAAACACATAAAGATTGGTACAAAGAGGTACCAAATAGATATTCGCCACATAAATCATCCGATTTGTGTCAGGGCTATGATACTGGTAGGGTGTCCAAACCGAAGCAGGTGGTTTACTTAAGGAGGTCACACACAGAGCCTTTGACCCAAAGGTATGATCTACAAGGCAGTGGAGCAACGTTAGGAGATGCAGTTACATGGTAGTCAGTGACTAGCGATTGGTTCATAAGCCATCTGCTCCTTCAAGATCTTAGAGTCCATGTGCATCATTGGTTTTGAATGAGGGTTTTCCAACTCTCCCAGATGCACTCTGTGTCTACCAACCTGGTTAAAGCGTCGGACATTCGCTTTTGATGCTCTCAATGTCGTAAACAACACCCGTGATGCAAGGACGCAGTGAGTAGGACTTTCCTGGCAGGGGTTGTATACACGTGGCCATGTAAGAGCATTTCGAGGAGAGCTGTCTCTCCCCATTGTCAGCCGTACCAGGGCATTTGAGGGCCATATAACACAGTGTTGTTTAATGTAATTGGATAGACAACAATAAAAGTCGATACAATACTCAACCACGGAAAGACGATACTGGGTAGCCATTCACTCCCTCTCACTTCATGGCTGTTAAACCTGGTCTTTGAAAGTATACAGTAGTCGTAATTCATACACATTTGATGAATCATGTGGTCGAAATGTTACCACATATGGTGAAAAATCCAAGTGAATCAATACTGTACGGAAGACCTTAAGCGATTTTAAGGATGACCTAGGAATTAATCAATCGAAGATATCAACTATTTAGACTAGATATCATAGTATTGTATGGAAGCAAAATCCTACAACTTTTAACCTTCAAACCCTAAAACTCTTAAATATAACAATTCTAACCCAAACCAGTTCACTTCACGAGAAAATCATCATTCTGCTTTACGAAGATTAAAATTGAAGCCAAGTACAATCCTGTGGATTGAACTACAAAACATACTCATTCTATAGCATAGAAGTACTAGTCACTGACAGAAAGATTTCTTGATCTAGAAGGTAAAACCATTTAGTAATTCAGAGAGAAACGACTGATGATTCCATCAGATTACTTATAAGCGATACAGAGTCTAGAACGATTTATACATGGAGATTTGTAGCTCAGGTGAATGATTTGGATGGAGTTTTTTCTCTCTGAAATTAAAGAACTACACTATCAATATACGTATATTCAGGTTGCCACAATAAAAGACATGGAAAAGGAAACGGATTCCAAGCTAGCCACAAGGATATAATTGAAAAGTATGGGGTAATACTAAGTTGTAGATTGAGAATAATCTAATGAATACTACAAGGTTTACATCCAGGAGTTTATCACTTACAAACATTGTTCAGTATAGTATTTAGCCACTTTACATTGACTATTAATCCTATACTGGTTAACAAAGTACATCATAGTGGGAAGTTAATAACTATATGTGATGCATGCTACAACTAATTCAATGAATGAAGATTGAAATCTTGTGATCAAACGATAGCATTTCTACCTTAATACTACTTTATTTGAATGGGTCAATCATAAACAAGCAATGTTTCAATAGTATTTATGATCAAATACGAACAATCGATGATCATCTCCAACATTTAAATGTATAATTAGACTTCAGATACATGATTCTACCGTAAATTAATTGTCATGAAGACATTGGTTAACAGTTCTGTTTGTAATGATTGTTCTCTAGTAGTTCAGTTCGTGAGTCGATTAGAGGTAGACCACTATGAAAAACCTGAAATCGCTGAACGGCCGTTTCATCCTGTTGTGAGACTCCTCAGCAGTGCGCATCCACGATCCTGCTTGTGGAATTCCAACCTAAGACTTTTAGTCAAGCGTGCGAACGCTTAACCTCTAGACCAGTGAATCAGCCGGCATTCAACAGTGTTAATGTCTAACTTCAACTAACGATAATGCTCCACCGTCCACCATTGTCTACATTGGTCACGGCTTCTAACCGAAACTCCACGAAATCTATCTTAAGACGTCAGTTACTAATGAGCACATGATGATCATTATCAAAAGGTGGGGTTTTATAGAGATTGTTTTTATTTCTTTGAAACTTACAATTTCCTATAAATGTCAAAATATACTCTCTTTTTTGATTCATTTACCTTGTTGTTTAATATGATAACTAAGAGATCATAATATTTAGGGCATTACATGCATTGTATACAAAGAAAAGATCTCATTGTGAAATAGAAATAATACCAAATAAAGAATAATAAAAAAAGAGAACTATTCAATAATCAATATGACATTGAATGTATATCCATATTGATACAAAGAGGGAGGAGTTGTGTGTGTGTGCGCGTGGGCGGCACAGAATACAATATATGTTACACAAATGATTTGATTTATGTGTGTTAGTTGTGATATTACTCTGCGGGGTGTTTAGATTGAAGTAAAGAATACCATATTGTTATATAACCTGATATGATAAAAGGATTGGACAGTAATGCAATGAAAGAAAAGAAAGAAAGAAGAGAGAAAGAAAAATACAATATAACATAGTTTAGATTAAAATGTACCAAAATAACGTTGACCAAAATGACTTGGTACAACTGGATGAATTTCTGATGTAACAATTCTTATGCTGGATTACGTGTTAGAACATTGATAAGACCTATGGAACAATAATAATAATGAATAAATGAACTCGTTGACATAAATGATAACTGAGAACTTTAAACAAGATAATGTATATAAGTGAATAGAGATTATTAATGTGCCCTAAATACCTTGGTACGGTCGAGAGTGGGGAGAGTTAGCTCTCACTCTCGAAATACTCTCATATGAACACGTGCATACAATCACTGACAGAGAAGTCCTACTCAATGCCTTCTCGCACCACGGGTGTTGTTTACGACATTGAGAGCATCAAAAGCAAATGTCCGGCGCTTTAACCGCGTTGGTAGACACGAAGAATCCACCTAGAAGAGTTGGAAAACCCTTATTCCAAACCAATAGTGCACATGGGATTCAGGATCCTGAGGGAACAGATGGCTTATGAACCAATCGTTGGTCACTAGCTACCATGTGACTTCACGTTCTGACGTTGTTCCATTGCCTTGTGGATCAGACCTTTGGGTCAAAGGCTCTGGTGTGACCCATAGGAAAACCACCTGCTTCGGTTTGGACAGCCGAGCAGTATCATAGCCCTGACACAAATCGGATGATTCATATGGCGAATATTTATTTGGTACCTCCTCGTACTAATGTTTTTTTGTGTTTAAATAAATAAATAAGTGTGCTAGTAGAAGTAGAATATGATTGGTTAGTGAAACGTCGGCAGACAGATACACATCTTATTAACTATTTGATTTCATTTCCTGGAGTTCTACTCTGAACACATTGCATATAGACTGATTGAAATTTTTTTAGAATAAAGTATTCTTTAGTCTTTACTTTAGTTCTTTATATTCAGTTGTGAATAGTGTGTCTGTTATAATGTGATCTAAGTCTGTGTACAATGTAATGATTAAGCGTCCAGTCTAGTGTTAGCATAGATCTTGGTCATTGATCGTATTATCATCTTATAGCAGTAGTATAATGTGGCATAAGAAAAATAATTCTTTATTGTCTCATTATATCAGATATTTAAATGGTAAAACTATATCGCCGCTACGATCTTCAAGCAAGCAATCGGATTCAGAGAACAGCTAGGAAATTTTATGCAGAATTCAAATCATAGTGAAGAATGGTCTATGTTTGATTAAGAAATTGTTTACAAGTTTTAGAAATAACTTCTTTGCATTTACACAGTGAATGTGACATGATATGTAAGCTTAATTACGAGACATAAGCGTGTCAGGTACAGATTGTATCTGAGTTTGCATGATGTGATATAACTCTAGGCTTCTCGAACTGGTTAACGCGTCATTGATTTGGCATAATGCCAATGTCATACAAGTTGGTGTTCCAATTAGCAATTTCGGCACGTGATAATTAACAGGGCATAAGAATATAACAAAATCTTTAAAGTAACTATTTTTCATTACATCCCCTTATCATTAGAACTGAATATGTACCAAACTTTAAGTACATTTTACAATGCACTATCTTTGGTAAAATAAACATATTTTAATGCCATATTATTATTCTTATTATTTTAACACATAGATATTGTTACAAGGAGGCACCAAATACATATACGCCACACAAATCTCATTCGATATGTGTGAGGGCTGTGATACTGTTCGGGTGCCCAAACCGAACCACGTGGTTTTCTTAGGGGGCCATTCCCCCGAGCATTCGACCTGAAGGTTTGATCCACAAGTCAGTGGAGCATCGTAAGGAGATGCATTCCCATGTAAGCTGGTGACCAACAGTTGGCTCATACGCCGTTTGTTCCCTCAGGATACTGGAGCCCATGTACACTATTGGTTTGGAATCCGGTTAAAGCGTCGGAATTCTCTTTCCGTCCTCTCATTTTCGTGAACAACACCACCGCCACGAGAAGGCAGTGAGTAGGACTTCCCTGGCAGAGGCTATATACTCGTGGCCATGTGAGAGCACTCTCGGCCGTACCAGAGCATTTGGGGGCACATGGTATATATAGTAGATAAATACTAACAGTCAATACTAGGTGATAATGAATGAACGGAAGTCTTGCTTTAATATACGTTTTCATAGTTCATAAACTTTGTGTTATACCTGATTTTATGAATGAATGGGTTTGTTTTCATTCCAAAAGTATCCTAGTCAATACTACAAACTTTCATTAGAAGTCTTCGAAATCTCGGTGTAAATAACTAATATGAGCAATACACTATTAAGTATACCATAACTCATTTACAAAGTACTAGTTTACTTACTTAGCTTTGAGTTGTATTTTGTGTAAGTAAGCTAAGTAATACCATTTGGCTTAATGAAACCGAAGTATATGAAGAGCAGTTCGAAACCTGTGGCTAATAGGAGAGTTCATCATATAAATACATTTTCTAACGGGTTCTCGATTTACCAAGCCACTTTGCTACAGAATGGTAAGAGGATCTCCACATATCAAGAATTGATCTGAGAGGTAGGCCAGGTTTGAGGAAAATAGATTCAAGATTAATTCATAATTGAAAACAAATCATGTCAAAACGACTTTATATTAAAGAAATATAGAATCGTTCAGGGAACAAAGAATCTATCGTTAAATAAAAGAAAAGAACAATTTTTTTATATTACAACTTACTTTGTGGTGATACAAATAAAGTAAGCAATATTACATTTTCTATAGGAACATTATAAGTTCTTAAAACATCCAGAGCTTTCAAAACAGTTATTCCAGTACCTAAACAATTACCATAAAATAGAATAGGAGAATAGAAGAAAAATAAACTCAGTTGTTTCCAAGGTTTTAACATTATTTGGAATATCTAAAACAATTAATCCCTTTCTTTCTGTATTATATCGTTATATGCAATCGTTCTTTCATATATTACTACCATTGAAGTAACTTCTTCTATGAATTCAGTGTTCATCTTGTTGTGCTAATGAGGTATGGCAACTTGGACCGATGCATACAGATGCCTGATCCTACGTTGTAGCTGACTACTAACTGACTGACTTTGATAAATTTCAATAATGCAATGAGAAGACGAAAGTTATCAGAATCATGTGATGTATTTGTGCAATACATTTCAAACAATTCGAGCACACATAATATACTTGTTAAAAACATTTATATATAAAAAATAAAAGGTCAACTAGGTAGATTAAATTTTCTGATTGAGATCATGAACCGATTGATGTTAGACCATCATTGAAAACCTGGAAGCACTAAACGACTGTTTCGTCCTAGTATCGGACTCCTCAGCAGTGCGCATCCATGATCCCGCTCGCGGGATTCGAACCCAGGCCTTCGGTCTCGCGCGCGAACGCTTAAACTACTGGACCACTGAGCCGGCATCCAACGGCTGATAGTGTCTAACGTCAACCAATCCACGAAATCGCGCGACATCTTCCATTGTACTGAGGTAGATATCTGCCTCTACCTGACATGGATTAGCTCCACTGGCCACGGCTTCTCACTAAAACTCCGAGAATCTCCCTCACGAAGCTAGTCGCTAGTGAGTACATGGTAATTATCAGATTAAAGGTAAGTCGTAACAAAGAAAAATTATTACTATTAATGGCTCTGTTCAATATTATATTTTGGTACAATATAAAATTCTCAGCATGAGGTATTTCAACATGTTTCTTTTACACAAAAAGAAAAGAGAAACGTGAAAAAAGATCTGATTTTATACATTTTTTCAACTAGAGACATGTTTAAGAATACAGGTTGTTGACTATGTCAACTTTAACAACCTATTCGTTACAGAGTATATTTGCTAGGTAAGGTATTATAGAACTTTCTATACCTTCGCTTGGGTGCATGGATTTTAATGTATTTACGTCTCGTTCTACCAGAAGATATACAAGGAGAAAGATATGAATGAAGGAGATGATTAGTATCTGATGAGATAATACCTGCCAGGAGTTTGCAAGACTTCAGATGTCTATCCACAACCATATTAATAATGACCTCAAAAGATTCACCACACACCCTGCTAACTGCCTTCAGCACTCTCCGCAATACAGCAGTCTTTTCTCAAAAGCCCGGGAAGGAATAATAGGTAACATGAAAGAATTGACAAACTGTAGGAGTAAATGTCGAGTAGTCCCGAAAGCATTCAGCCTCTTTATGTAGTAAGTCGGATAAAAAACTTCGAAAACAGTAAAATATGAGAAGACCAAAAGAGATCAGAGAAAAGGTAGTACCAAGATAATTGATCTTCAACAATATGTTTATCAAAGAGTTTCCAATAGCACAAGGATTTTGGGATCTCAATATGGTGCTTAGGTACTGTTCATGTATCAGTCTAAAACTAACAGCTTGACATTTAGATGGATTAAGTATGAGACCATTAACAACAGACCAACATTCAATACGAGACAAAAACTCATTCATTTCCATGCGATGTAAAGAGGTAGAAATCGGCATACATACAGTGAGATCGTTCGCATATTTCACAAGTGCTTTTTGTGGAAGATGGCAGATCATGCAGAAAAAAAGAGAAAAGAAGTGGTGAAAGAACAGCTCCTTGTGGCACACTTTCATAAGACAGTAGAGACGTTGAACACTTCCCTCCAAACAGTGTACTGTTCTCTTCCAGAGAGGTAAGAACATAGCCAGTTGGTTATCCAGCTGTCAGTGTTGACGCTGATTACTTGTTAAGTAAAAGTTGTCTTGGGACAATAAATAAAGTATAAAAAACCACTCTGGATAATAAATAAGTATTACCAGGGTAAGTTAAAGCTAAGAACAAATAGTTTTAAAACACATAAAGGGGGTTTCAGTTTCCGTATAACCAAGGCTTCAATAAACCATAGTATACGCCTTTGAAGGCTTTTGTATAACACTACAAATGATGACTTGATATCAACCAAATGTTTCGCAGTGGAGGAAATATCTCTTTATCCTGTGATCTTATTTGACCACTGGATTTCATTTTTTTTGGACAATGATGAAGAATATTTATAGGTTAAGGAAGATTTCGAAAGTATATTGTATTCTTTAAGTTGAATCGTTTAACTATGAAGCTAATACAACTGTGGACAACAACCAATTTAATTTCTATAAATAAAAATAATATATTTGTAATACCCCAATGAGTAGAAAATTGGATTTTTGACATTTTGTGACTTAGTGTAAGTCACTTCTTCAGAAAATAAATTTTTGTTTATCGATACAACAAGGTATTGATCACTTGCAAAATAGATATTTTGATAGCTTACTTCTTTAAGAAGTATGAAGTGTAACTTATTGTTAAGATTTCGCTTAAGAGCAGAATGTTTTAACCAGCAAAACACACCTCTACATAGATTTATGTGCTGGATTTCGGACTTTGTTTTTGCTTATGGAATATTAATACACTGACAGGGTATCCAGATCAAAATAAATGAGGAGAGCCATATATATATAACTCAGTCATTTAGGTTAAGCGCTATAACAACTAAACCATTCTTTAAAATTAAAGTACAAAGTATCAACTTCTATGGTTAGGTAATGGGGATACAATGATAGAATATGAGAAGTATTGGAAGCCATAAATGTTGAGATCAAAAATTTGAGGTTCACAATCTTACATTATAAATCAAGTATTGTCGAAAGATCTTGGGATAAAACAACTGGGCAATTTTCCCGTACAGTGTGACTTGGAATAGTTTTCTGATTATTATTAAAATAAATCGTGAGAAATGTGAATAAATAGGGAAAAACATACTAAAATAGGATACATTAATAGAACCTTTCTATTTTCAATATTCGGTGGAAATTTAGCATAATATACTTTAGCATCAATATCGTTTTCTTTGGCTTTTTGTATCAATATCTTTCCGATACGCATAGATCTACAACAATCTCTTAGGCCACGTTCCATTGCTTCACCAGATCGCATAACAGATACTCCACAATTTCCACGAAGAAAACTTATACCTTGATATGAATGTCCTGTGTAAATGAAGAGACAAACAAACGATAGTATTAGACAGTATTAAGTGACGTGAGAAGCTCAAATCTTCGTCAAACTTTTCGATTCACAATAACGACGTAACTTAACTCGATGAGCAGAGGTTTATATATCTGGGCCTTGAGACATATACCCTTTTTGTGTAAGATCATATGATATAACTGCTTAGACCTACCTGATTGAAAGCAGTTATAAACTATGCTAACTTAGAATAATACGCTTACTTCTGTTAAAGAGCGGTCCAGTGTAAGTTGATTACCATTAAATTGATAGTAATTAGTTTCGTTAATAGTTATATCACAACCATACATAAAGTGTCTATATAAGAAGTGACTGTAGGTCGATGAACCTAGATTTAGTGCTATTTAGCACTCTTTAGCACGGAGTATCAAAATTTTTCAGTGCACTCCGTACGAGATTCGAACAGGTATTATTCAGATTCATAGTCTGAGATGATACCACTGAACTGATAGTTTAATATAGATACAGACGTGTACGCATGATGAACAAATTTACCTGTGGGGGTCGTAACGCACACGTTTTCATAGGGAAGTTGATTTAAGCCTTCTTCAACTACTAAACGTATCTGAAAGTAATAGGAAACAGTAAAAGTGGTGAACAAACATACTAGACAATCTGCATTGAATAAGAATTCGTTCCTTGGAGTATCTCTACAAAAGTATATCAAAATTATTAGTTAGAGAACATACTTATTCCTTATAACTGTTTGCAAGACACGTACATGATCCGATTGTGGAAGTAATATTATGTGTTTTGAAAATTTGGATAGTACATCATCCACTTCAATGTTATATATTGATGACTGAAGTTCCTTTAACTTTAAATCTTCATTTCCATTTTCATCATTAACACACGAAGATGATTTAACCTTTAACCATAAATTGAAGGGTTAACAAAACAACTAACCTTAATATAATGATGAGGCATATGAAACAGATATAATTAAGTGGGCACCGAGAGCAATTACTGTCACTACAACTAGGATTTTAATGACAGTAAGGCTAAAAACGAGGAAAAATATTTTAAATATGAAAAGATATTAAGACAACTATTTATTTAATTAGGTACATAGAATGAGCGCTTTTTGTCTTAGTGATGACAATAAATAAAACATGTCCCCCGATAGATATGTCGTTTTTGAGAGAATGGCACTTCTTGACGTCTTCAGAACCTAAGACTTTTGACGTACACACCAAACCTTCACGTGGTTTTCATTTTGGGACCCAAATAAATCGGATATGCGAGACGCGTTAAAAAGGGATGCTGACTGGGCCTAATAATTCTAACAAAATTGAGTGAAGATGACCATCACAACAATTTTATTTTCTCTAAATCTACATATGTCTGGGTTTTTTATCGCGAAGTTTTCACAAAGTTCGTCCAAATTAGCACGAAACATCAAAAAGTTGGCAAGTTAAGTTGTTGTGCTTACTTGAGGTGGAATGTCTAGATACACGAATCAGAGAAGCAAAAGTGGTGACATCAACTGTAATCAAATGAGCGCAACTGGTAAAAGACAAGGACTGCTATCAAGCTATGAGAATTTGGAAAAATACTGTGCTAAAAACAGCTATGCATTGAGAAGCATAATTTACATCTTTTGATACACTATGATGGTCCTAAAAGATCTAAAAAAAGTAAATACATATCTATGCATTCGAGTTTTTTTCCAGAAAGAATATTTACGTAAATTTTAAAGTCAACTTTATAAAGCCTTAATAACTTGTGTAGTTAAACAACTCGATCAATGTAGTGGAAAAGTAATAAGTCTGGTGCATTGGTTTTTTTAAAAACAAAGTTGTGTATTAATCTAGTAGAAGAAATTAACTAATTAAATTCTCTGCCTAGGAAACGAAAATCCAGCAAACAAGCATCGCAACCTTGAGGAGTTTGGATTGAGCTCTTCAAATCTCAAAATCTGGTAGATTGATTTTGTAAATTATTTGACCTTTAGAGATCTGCATTTAGGTAACAGGAAAACGTTATTGATTATAAAACGTATAATTTTCTTTAATTCCCTTCTGAAAGTGGAGCGGTAGCTTAAAAAGAGCAGTGATTTTTGCACTTGTTGTGATTATCCTTGCTTTGTGTACTTGTTGCACCAAAAAGCATTCTCGGCCTACTTTAACTAAAAGTACTTTGGTAAGGTTTGAAACTTCTGCTAAACTTTTTCCTTTGGTACTTTTTGCTGACTGACTGACACTCGTGTTCACATTGTGATCATATTGCGTTTTAAATCTTTTTAATCAAGTTACAATGGTTAGTAAGACCCATAAATGTGGAAAACCAAACTGCTTGTTTCCCGGTGAGAAAGGAATGTAATGAGATGAGTGTAAAAAGTGGTACCATACAATGTGTACACGTCTAAGTCCTACGGCATACAAAAGATACTGAGGGCCTAACTCGCATTGGCTTTGTATGTTTGCTGTACAAATAAAAAGTTACTAATTCAAAAGGCTGTGGGCCTATTGGCTTCGACATGTTAGAAAAGTGATGACGGTTGCGTTGATAACACGTGCACTGACGCTGACGAATGTGTCCGCGTAGTACATGCTGCTATCGGACCCGCTAAACATCCGACTGTTATCGACGGGAAAGTGAAACATTAACGAGGAGTGAAGTGTCGATTGATATTAACATTGGTAATCATACACGTGTAGCGGAAATTGAAGACTAGAATAAAACTGTCAACGTTCAAAATAGTTTCGAGGTGGCTGTGCTGAGTGATGATAAATGGACTTCAGTACGGAGAAAAAGAAAGGAGAAGAAAAAAGCTATGAGCGAAACACAGCTGGTTAGCAAGTCATCGGAAGAGACTGTATCAGAAACAAAAACTCCACTGCGTCTCAAGACAGGTCTCTCTGAGAGGTCAGTAATTTTTCATAAGTTAAAAGAATCTTCCGATATGAAACCAAAGGCTAGATTTGAACACGATCTCAGTCATTTTAAGTCCTTAATAAGTAAACTACTCTCAGATCCAGTTTCAGCAGTTAGTGTTTGTAAGCTTTACAGAATAAGACAAAAGGTGGATTCTGAGAGTCCTCGGAAAAGCCGCCTCTTTAAGGTTACATTCAACACGGTTGAAGAAAGGAACCTGATTCTAGATAACTCACGTAAACTGATTGGATCCGGAATATGAGTCCGTGAGGACCTCAGCCTAGCCGATCATATTAAGAGACGAGCTACAGAAGTGGAAATAAATGAGCGTCGCCGAAACGGTGAAATCTCGTTCTTAAGGGTTTTCAGGCTATAAAAGTTCGGAGCAAAACGATCCCCATGCCACTTTGGGTGGCAAGGGGAAGCTCTCCACAGAACTAAAAATATGCTACACAAATGCTCGCAGCCTACTAAATAAAATGGCGGAGCTCAAGTCAGTGGTGGATAAAGAAAAACCGGACGTTATTGCTGTCTCGGAAACTTGGTTAACGTCAGAAGTATTACATAGTGAAATCCAGTTGACTGGCTTTTCAACCGATAGGGCTGATAGATTAAGCCGTAGGGGAGGCGTAGTTATCCTGTACACGAGAAGCACCCTAGCCATAAGATAAGCTGAGACAGTAGCACATGTTTCAGGGACATGTGAACTGGTGAGATGTAAGTTGAAATGCCGAAGGCAAGATATTGAAGTAGTTGTAGTTTATCGCAGTCCAGAATGTGTAGCAGATGATTTTCTCTTAAGTAAACTTAAGTCCTGGTGTAACAACGGTAAAAGCCTTGTAGTAGGCGACTTTAATGCACCATATATAAACTGGGTTAACTTAGAAGTAGGGTCATCGATATCGTCGTTCGACTCCAAACTGTTAGAAACCTCGATTGGACTAGCATTATTCCAACACATTAGAGATCCCACAAGATACGACTTAAGAAACTCTTCTCTTTTAGATTTAGTCTTCACACACGGTGATGACGTTGGTCAAATGGCTTTTCTCCCACCACTTGGGAGAAGTGACCATGCAGTCATCTTATTCAAATTCATGGCTGAGATTGCTTGTCAAACAGTTGCGCCGGCCCGTCCTAACATATGGAAGGCAGATATGCAGGCAATTAACTCCGCAGCATCGGCTGAGAACTGGGAAATTGACTCAAAGGCATCAGTACAAGAGGCATGGACTCTATTCAGGCAGTTATACAATCGGGTAACTCAACCATACATACCCAAAGAAAAAGAAGCACGGACATCCCTGGATAGGGCGGGATATTCGACGCTTACTAAGACAAAAGAAGAAATGCTGGGATGTTGCCATCCGCCTTGGCACAGCAGGTACGATGGAACGCTACAGATCGATAAGAAACGAGTGTATAACTAAAATTCGGGAAGCGCAAAGAAAATATGAAATGCAGCTGGCAGAATCTGCACTCAAGCAGCCCAAGAGGATATTCTCGTACATAAACTACAGAACAAGGATTCATCATTGGATTCCCAACCTAATTAAAGTAGGAAGTGAATCTGAAATGATAGAGGAAGATCAGGAAAAAGCTGAGGTTATGGCTGACTATTTTGGGGCAGTTTTCACTCAGAAACCTCTTCTAGAGAAAGAACCAGACCCAATTACAGAGTCAACAAACCAGCTGCTCACCGTGGACTTCGACCAAAACGATGTGCTTAAGGCTCTTAGCACCCTAAACATGGAGAAGTCAACAGGACCAGATGAACTACACCCTAAAATCTTGAGACATATTGCCCAATATATCGCATCCTCACTGACTGTGATATTCAAAATGTCACTTGACCAAGGTGTGTTACCTATGGACTGGAAGGACGCAATCGTCACTCCCATACATAAAACAGGCCCAGACAAGTTCCATCGAATTACAGACCCGTAAGCCTCACCAGTGTTGTAATTAAAATACTGGAAAGAATAATCAAACGGACCATAACAGCATTTATGGAAACCAATAACTTGCTGAACATGGCACAACATGGTTTTAGAAAGGGTCTATCCTGTACAACGAACCTCCTTATAGCTAGGGAGCTCTGGATTAATGCGCTAGACAACGGAAACTCAGTGGATGTTGTCTACATAGACTTCAGTAAGGCTTTTGACAAGGTGCCAACTAATAGACTGCTATTGAAGTTGGCAAACCTTGGTATTGCCGGACCTCTTTTAAAATGGATTAAGGATTTCCTAGTAGGTCGTAGGCAAAAAGTAAGAATAAATTCCAAGTGCTCCATCTGGAGACCAGTACTTAGTGGAGTACCCCAAGGTTCCGTCTTAGGTCCTTTACTTTTTATAATGTACGTTAATGATCTTACAAGTATAGTACAGTCTCCAATGTTATTATACGCTGACGATGTAAAAATTTGGCGAGTAATAACTGGAGACAAAGACGCATTTACTCTTCAGGCAGACTTAAATAATATGATAAACTGGTCTAAAGAGTGGCTAATGCCTATCAACTCGGAAAAGTGTGTCTACATGCACTTGGGGGATTCAAAGGTTAATACGTACAACATAGGGGATGTGTCATTACCCGTAGTCCGGTCTCATAAGGACCTAGGGGTGACAGTGAGCAATGATCTTAAGACGACGGCCCATTGCCGGGAGGTCGCAGTTAAGGGGTTTCGAACCCTCTGGGCTTTAAAAAGGACATTCACTAAGTTAGGTACTACCATGTTCACCACATTATACACATCCTTAGTGAGAACTAAGTTAGAGAACTGTGTTCAGGCTGCAAGCCCCTGTTTAAAAGGTGACTCGGACATAATAGAAAAGGTACAGAGGGCAGCTACGCGTGCAATTCCGGAACTCCGGGTTTATCATATAAAGAGCGGCTTGAAAAACTGAACCTCTTTACTCTGTCCTATCGCAGACTAAGGGGAGATCTAATTTTGATGTACAGAATACTGAGAAATGATTTCGGACCTAACTTATTCTCTCTCTTTCTTCCCACTAGATCGGGACACCTCAGAGGACATAGCAGGCGAGTAGAAAAGCCAAGAACGAACAAAATACCCGTGGCATACAGGTTTTCACACCGAGTCATCAATACTTGGAACCTGCTGCCTGAAGCAGTGGTGTCCGCACCTTCAATTGACTCTTTCAAGAGAAGACTGGACACTCACAGAAGCATACAAGAAAAGGAATAACATAGGCCGTAGGCCTTCTGTCCTTACTACACAAATCCGAAATCTGAATCTGAGATTATTTGATCATAGAGTATTTGAGTGTATGATAACATTGATATTTGCCAGTCTATGTACATACGAGACTAAAAGGAAAGATTAACTTGCTTTCGAAAGACCTTAATCGAGCGCTACGTCACCACCTGTACTAGAAGGTAATTGCACGGTTTGCAGTTTGACATTGCGAATGATAGCGAATATTCTCTAATTGTTTCCATTGCACCAATTTCGTTCTGTTCGTAGAAGTGGGTCGCATCATGTATGTATAAATTCCTGCTAACTTGGTAGGCGGTAATTCAAAGAAGCATTTCGTGCAACTTTATTCCTGCTAGAAAAGCTAGAGGTGAACATTACTCTCTCCGAACACAGTATAATTGTGTTATTAGTGAGATACGCCAACAGATATCAGGAAGTTTGATCATTGATTTCAAAATACCTCTAGCTTTCAGTGCTCCAAACTAGCTCTAGAAGAGTTTTACATGTTTATAGTCGTGAATAGATCCTTAAAATAAAGTGTTTTAAGTCTTGTACATAGGTGCTGACTCCATCAATTTTGTTGAACTGATCCATTGATGAAGATGATCAGTCACTTATTCGTAGCATATAATGATTGGATGCGCCATGCTTAGACCACATACTTTTCGATTCATAAACCAGTTTCTAAATATACGTTCAGACCTCATTTTTAAATTTCAGACAGGCCCTATATATCCATGGAATTTTATGTCTCTAAGTAACGTAAATGACACTGAAGATGATAATACTTAGTTGTTAGATATGTCATGAAGACAATTTCGAAAAGTTAAAACACATCGGTATTCACTTTCGGGACCGAGGTTCATTCTCAACAATATTCCTATCTAGGTTGTGTAGGGATATCAGTGACATCTGTCTAGCAGATGGGCTAAAACCATATGTAGAAATTAACCTATGTGTTCTTATGGATGATGGGATTGCTTAGCTCACATCATTTTACATCAGAATCATACCACTCAAGGATTCCTCAGTCTGACATATTTTAAATACAGTCAAGCTATACTGTTATCACAGAGAACTGAAATTTGTCTACTAGAATAATGTAGGTTAAAGTAAACAGATTAGAGAAATTTATTTTGTTTCTTCTGTAGAACGTTTCAGGTCATGTTGATGACTGATAAATTCACGCTTGTCATCTGTGACCTGAACGATATATGGAATAAGATTCAGTGTCTAACGATGTCTTCTATAGTTTAGATGTGTTCATTTCGTCGGATAACTTGAGTGGGGTTCAGTGACATCTCACTGACTCTATATAGATACGTATTGTTCTACTCAGAGACAGTATTCTGATCTGAAACCTGTTCATAATAATAGTTCGTACATGCATTCATCCATATTCTGAAATAAACGATATCTCATATACTTTTTACTGAAAATGATCATTAGTATCTGTAGGCAGGAGTGAAGTTATACGAATGAGAGCCTAGTGTCACCATCCGGGACTCTACTAAACATTAAGAATCGCCCTATAACGTCAAGGTGTAGGCAAAGAAAGCAGCTATTTGTTTTCAGATCACGTAGGATATGTCGAATACAAAATGGTGTCTAGACCTTGACTTTAAATGACACAAAAAATTCGACAAATATCAAGATACTGGCAAATGTAAAAAACTAATTGAATTTATCAAGTGATAATAACATTTTTGCATGTGCAAATAGTATTATAATAAAATTATCACAGTTTCAGATAATCCGGATCTATAAAGGAGTGGATTCCTTTCACTTTACACTTTCGTTCTTACTCACTAAATTCAAGTTTCATGAACTGTCGAGAATGGTCCGCATTTTTGTAATTTGGCCTTGAGGTTAGATGCAAAATATTTTCCAGCCACATCCGTTTTCTACAACAATTGGGACTCTGACAGGTAGATAAATAATTTTTCTATGTGGATGAAACGTTATATTAGAAAGAGCGACTGATAGTGGTCAGCCGTCAGAAGATTGGGCTCTGATTTTGGAAATATGCGACACAGTAAATGAAACGGATGATGGGTGAGCCTTTAGAGAAGACATAATTTTAATTTTATAGGCCTAAGGAGGCTATAAGAGCGATAAAGAAACGTCTGGTCACTTCTGCAGGCAAAGACAACGTTTCAATATGGTACACATTAACACTCTGGAAACTTTAGTAAAGAACTGTGGAAAAAGATTTCACAGTCAGGTTGCTAACAAAGAGTTTCTGCATGCTTTTCTAAAACTTTTATCACCTAAGAATGACCCTCCACAACAGCTACAAACGAAGGTTTTGTACATGCTTAAAGTAATTGCTTTCAAATTGTTGACGATCTTCCTAGTGTTGGATATCAAGTAACTGGGATGTCGCTGGTAAACGGGATCTGGAAAAAATATATGCTTCGCTTTTACAAAAAGGAGTGCAATTTCCAACGGTTGCACCAGTTGACTGTTATGCATCAAAACCGTCAAGAGGCGTACGTTTGAGTGTTGTTTTTTGATTTCTATGTAACCCTTTTTACTTGAACGTAAATGACTTATCAACGTAACACAACCCGTAAAGTTAGTCTTCATAGGTACATTTATTGTGGTGAGTTGGATTTCGTTCCTTTGGAATAGGTTATTCAAATTTGTGAGTATAGTGAAAACTACTGTAAAATAGTTCCTGTCTTATTGGTCCGATATCTGACTCCATTTGGATCGTGTGTATTATTGCCATTGAAACATACATGTTGCCAATCCTCGCATATAATTATCAACTTAACTCGCGTTAGTGGATAACGGAATGAATAAGTCAAATTCAACAATGGATTTCGAATACATATACTTCATACAACCATTGATCCAGACAAACGATCGGAAAAACGAAGCGAAATGATGCGCAGTGGAGAAGACGATTGAGCCGACTCAATTTAATCAAGCGTTCAATGATATTTATAGTCAGACAAAATAAGTTACAGACATGTGACGAATAGGGTAAGCAATACACGCACACACTCATATGAAAGCAGTCAGGATTAATAGGCAAATAATTAACAAGGTCAAAATTGTGACTGAAGAAGGGCGAATAAATTGGCCTGTCTGGAAGCTAAAACAAGCTATGTGGGCTTGACATAGCACCAGACACTACACTGTCTTCCATCTTGAACCATATCTTTTGGTTTCTCATTTGACTAGTGTTACAGTCGTTAAGTATTCCACAAAATCCTAACGAAACAACGTATGCTAGTCTAACGGTCAATCTCCTCTTCACGACTTCATTTTTTAAACTTGTCATTTTCTTAGTTTTTTGTCCAGATCCAGTGTCGTGAATAATGCTTCATACATATGTTACTGAGACAACAGTTATGAGATGTGAGCTAATTGTGATAATTACATACGCTGCACTATCTAAACACTATGATGCATTTATTATAATTCAAGAAGAGTGCGGTTAGCGTCAAACGTTTGTAAATCATCGCATTGAATTAGAATTTTCAGCAACAATTATACTGAAGTTGGTTATTTTTGTTTCCGGAAACTTTTTATTTAAAATTTTTGATATGACTAAACGTATGATCTCCGCTCCATAAAATTTTGAAGATCCTTTTTAAAACAAGTTAATACCCATTATATTTGGAAGCGCTAACATATATTATTACGTAGAACAGAACCATTTCATATCGGTCTATTGCAAACCTTTTCCAACAGGAATATAGATGTGTAATAATCATTACATTACTGTTACTTTGTTTCGTCTAGTTATGATTTTACTTAAATAGAATTTATATAAGGATTAAGCCAAAAGTAAATGAATTTATTATGTATCGTGGTTGTTTTGGTTTTACTAAAGCATGTAGATTGAACAAGTTGTACAGGATTTTCAATCTCATTATAGATGTTTCTATAACAAATACTCAAGTATTGTAACTTCTAGCATCTATCTTACCGCTATAATATGGAGACATTTTAACCGGTATAGTTTCAGGTCTCGCAGTGCGAAGTTGTACATAGAAAGAGAGTGGTGCTTATCGAACCTCTACACTTTCTTAATCAAAGTATTCGCATTCTAAAAGGTGTCTTAAGTAATCTTACATTTAATAGTTGTATAAACAAATATTACTATGAAGCGATCATTTCCGTAGATAGAGGACTGGAAATATAATGATTTGATCTTTTTTTATTTTAAAAACTTTTAGCTACGTGATAATTTGGTCACATCTAAAACTGGAGTAACTATTCCGCGAACTTGTTCACAAGAAAATGATAAATTAACTGGAAGGTCTTTAGTACTTAAAAGTTCTGGAACAGGTAAGGTCGTTTTATTTCGTTCAATGATGTGTTTACCAATGACTGGATTGATTTAGGTTTTTATTTATAACTTGATTTCTGCTTAAGAGGAATGTAAAACAAATAGCTTTGAGCAATAGGTTTTTACTTAGGATAAAGCTTATCGGTAGTTTTATGAGATCATTTTTTATAGGATCTTTCTTGAGCTTTTTAAGTCAAAGCTGTAAATTTAACATCTGACAAGTAAGCACTTCTCATTTTCAAAATTTTCGCATTACAGCGTAGGAATTATTCAGTATTATTGATAAGGTTTCTCACTCAAAACCCGATTGACCTCATGGATCAAAGCTTAAATCCTTGTATAACTACACTGAAAGCAAGTTAACTTAGTTGTTCATAATTTGTAGAAAAAATGCAAAGTTGGTTATTTCGTCAAAAGTAATTCATGAAACATAAGTATATTCGTTTTTGTGCTAATTTACAATATTTGATCAATGGTTAGTGATTAGCATTATATATATTTTTTTGGATCGGTCAAACGCTACCGAACACATCCCAACTAGGTCATTACTAGACGTGGTTTGGAATCCCAGTCCAATATATCAGATGTTAGATAGTTGATATTACAATAGTTCTTTGTCTTACAAGTATAAATAATAAGCGATTCCGACATAGCAATTAACGAAGACTAGATATAGCAGTTGTAGACTCAGTCATAACATATTAGCGACGAGGATTTGGAAAAGAAGAAAGTCATAACAATCGCTGACGGGGTCAATTAACAAGTTTCAGTCCCCAGTATAACTGTCTGGTTCCACTTGTAACTCAGTTGTCAGTTCAACTTACCCAAATCCTATTTCTACAGTTATGCTTCTGCTTTTTTGTCAAGTATCTGTTACAACAAACGACACGGTTATTAATGTAAGAACATTTCAATTTCAGTAGCATCAGTAAAAGCAATGTTTCAGTTTAATGAAGATGTGTTCATTAAATCTCATTTAATGCTCATTGGTGCATTGAATGAACACATGCTTAAACAATTGAATCCGAAATCGCACTCAGAAACCATAGATACATTTAACGAGGTAACTGGCACATTTCCTGTTGCAATAGGGAACAGTTTAGTCATTGAGGAAAAGGTGAAAACATTCTTTGATCATGTTGACTCTCGGCAGTGTTTAAATGTTTTTTTTTATCAAATTCCTCTTTTTCTAATTATCCAGTCATATCGAGTGAAATTCATAATCATTTGAGACAAATGTTTCAAATGAATCAATTTTGGTCAAATTTCTAATGATATCATATCAGATGCCGAATACCTTAATGTTTCATTGGTTTTAATGTAGTTCTTAATGAATTTGAGAAAAATATTCTAAATGAATCAAATTCTGGTGATATCATAACAAGTGTTTCTTGTTCTCACAATACATTCGTTACTAACGAAAACCTTAGTCAGTATAAAACACAGGTTTTCAATGGGTCTAAATCTAATTGTAGCTCTAATGGTCCCACATCAAATGTTATTTATCTTCACAATCCATCCACTCCTAGTCCGCATGAGAATCATGTTTTAAATGAGTCGCATTCTGGTCACATTTTAGATGTCATTGTAACGGATGTTGGGTACCCTCACACTATATATGTCTCATAGAATCCATATTCAATCCTATGATGAGTCGTTTGATATAGCAAGTGCTTACAAAGCAGTCCTGAAACCAGAATGCCTAGGAGCGATGTCGTTCCTAAATCTGATAGTTCGAAATTCGGGTTAAGACTCGATGCCTGCTATGGTAGAAATGAAAATCTATTTAGGATAAAAGTTTTTGAACGAGACACTGGTTTAAAAGTTCATGCTTACCTCAGGAAGCTTATTTATTTTATTTATTTGAACACAAATATTGGTACAAGGAGGCACCAAATAGATATGCGCCACACAACTCACTTGATTTGTGTATGGGCTGGGACACTGCCCTGGTGCACAAACTGAACCACGTGGTTTTCTTATGGGGTCACACTCCGACCTAAAGGTCTAATCCACAAGGTAGTGGAGTAACGTAAGGAGATGCAGTCCCATGGTAGCCGGTAACAAACGATTGGTTCACACTCCATTTGTTCCTTCAGAATCCTGGAGCCCATGTATACCATTGGTTTGAAATGATGGTTTTTCAGCTTCCCTAGGTGGATCCTCCACATCCACCAACCCCGATTAAAGCACCGGACATTCGCTTTTCGTCTTCTCAATTTCGTAAGCAACACCACAGAGGAGAGAAGGCGGTGACCTTAGAAAGCTGAGGTCAAATGAGGATGAAAAGCGTGCGAATTTCATCTCGCCGAAAATATTAAATATGATGTATTTACACAGAGCACTCAACGTTTTTAGGAAATTGTATGATGAGCAGTCATCCAATTTAATTATTAGTTATGGTGATTTACAAATATACAACGAATCTGATGATACTTATTTCGTCTATTCGGAAGAAGTGAATGACACACACAAAAAGTAAGCATTGTTTTAATAACTCAAAATCAGTCCACTTGCATGTAGAATGCGGCTGCTTACTGATCCTTATGAGTATGAAGCACATGCAAATGTTCCCGTTCAAATGCTTTGAAGGCAAAGTGAGCCAATATAAATCATCTGCCTTGTTACTGAAAGGTCGAAATGCAAAATGAGCTTATTAGTATTGTGAATCGAATAATTGCATCAAATGTTTCGTTATGAATAGTATAAAAGTCACCATGTATAATATTACCCATACAGGTCAAGATTATGCCCACGTACCTCAATACATACATATAATGAAGGTGTGAGTAGTGTTGAGACAGTTCAGCTAAATAAAGTCACATGAAGATGCAACATTATTTCATGAGGGAGGGAGAATCGTATATACATTGAACGAAGGAGCAGAGCATATAAGTCAAAAGGTTAAATAGACTTTTTTTCAAATCTCCCTCTCCAATTGTTATGTCTGGTCGTCGCTGTTTGTTATGTCGGACTCACTCACTACTTATACTTGTAAAACGAGGAAACACCGCAGATATACAACCCTGGTTTTAGTGGTCCGCTGATCTGACTCCAGTTGGTCTGATAGTGCTGTTAACGAAATATACACCCCGACTACCCTCATTGATAATTATCGACGTAATTTTCATCAGAGAATAATGGAATAAAATAAGTCAAATACGGGAATGAATTTCGGATACGCATATTTCGTACACTCGTTTATCCAGACAGGCATTAAGAATAAGAAGCGGGAAGGTATATGTGCCAACTCGATTCGATCAGGTGTTACTCACTATTTATAGCCAGAAAAAATAAGCCAATGACATGTGATGAATAGGGTAAGCGATGCAGACATATGCGCTCATATAAAAATGGCCAAGGTTATAAGTGAACAATTGACTACGTCAAAATGTGACTCAAGAAGAATAAATTTATTGATCTTTTGAAAAGCTAGAATGACCCGTGTGGTCTTGACATTGTACCAAACACTACATAGTTAGTCCAAGTTTCTTGTAATGTGTGGTCCTTCAGCAAGGATTATTTACGATAGTAATATTATTTCCCAGTAACATCCAGGTAATTGATGGGAATGAGTAATGAATCAATATGTTAATAATGAAGAAGTTATGTTAAATAAGACAAAATGACAACGAATGACTATTTCTTCTTCTCCCTCTTCTTCTCTGTCTCTTATATTACACTAAGCTGTAAACATATCGAAAGATTGCAATTGATATGTGACTTTGTTTTTAATTATATTCATCCTTAAATTAAAATGTGAAATAAAGAGACCTTTTAAATGATTGACTAACATCTTAAAGTGTTGATATTCGATGGTTAGCGTTTTTTTAGCGAGTTAGTTTTCTACGGGATGGGAGTCGCTAACCCCATGACAACTCTCCTTCTTTATCCGAGCTTGTGACCGGCAGTAGCCCAAGAAGGGTTCCAGGCGGAGTTGATATTCAATGGCGTCGTAATAATTTGTTTTTATTGCATTGTATTTATTCTTGTTCAAGTGGACGATTTGAATTATTTATTTTTTCAAACATATTTAGAATCGGATATCCATTTACGTAATCGTTTATCTGTAAATCCATCAAGTTCAAGTGTATTACATCCATGCTCTGTTTGCCATTGTATACATGAATCAAATATTCAATCATTGGCTTGTCATAGTCTTGGTTCAAGACCTAATGTTCATTCTACTGGTACTTCTGTATCCTCATACAGTCGTTCAACACGTAATGTACATTTTAATGGTACAGTTCAAAATAGATCACATATTAGTACTATACCAAATGATTGTACTGTAATGGTTGTTAACTCAGGTAAGTTGTTAAGGCTCTTTATGAAATAATTTTGATTGGCAACGTTTATTTTCGTACTTTACAAGTTAAACTTGTAACTTCCAAATTGATGTTTGATTTCTGTATACCTTTTGATGAGACGTTAGACACTTGTACATCCCCACAGGTAAATTGATGGCAATGTTTGGGTTGTGTACAGTTCTAATAATGAACACTTTGGATATGAGTTACATAAAAACACCCAAACGTATAACACAACTAAGCTACACCGTCTTCAGAAATACTCAAAATGAATTGCGATACTATAAGTCATGGATACGCTTTTAGGGATCCTAAAGTGTTCTTAAAAAACTCTAACCACTGAGAATTGGGAATTGAAGTTAAAAGTTAAGGTTTAGATTTAGAATTAAGGTTTTCATCATGAACTAACATCAGCTACAATGCATAAGTGGTATTTAACTGTATGGATGACGGAACTGTGCTCTAAAATCTGAAAGGTGATATCTTGAAAACATTTAGTTTGTCTATAATTCCTAGTCCCACCAAAAGTATATGGACTATCAAATCTAAAATACTTCGAGGAAATAACTTACCAAAGAACTTGTAATTAGTTACTTATTAAAAAAAGAAATATATCCCCGACAAACTAGAAACGTTATTTTGTTAGGTGTCGACTAAACAATTTGATCTCTCAGAATCACTGACAAATGCACTGAGATATGTTGGCTAGTGTAGACTACTTAGTTGGGATCTGTGAGACAATGGCAACCGATGGTTAGAGACCTTAAATGACATGGCTCAAAATCGTTTGCAATGGCGCAGGTGCATCCAGTCTCTGTGCTCTCCCAAATTCTGATCTTCTGAATTCTTCATGTCCTTTATTTTCTTTCCAAATTTATTTCACTGGATTATACTCTTTGAATAACATTTTCAAACCGTAATCTTTCCGACTACTGCCTACACTTTTACTATCTCTACCACTATGGGATTTGAGTTGACAATTGCATCTGTGTGCTAATGTGGTATGGCAAATCGAACTGATGTATGTACGTACGAGGTTCTGCGTTGTTACTGACTGACTGACATTTTGTACGAACTATGTGCTATGAAAACGTCAATTAATTAAACCTCAAATGAATAAACGAGTTAGTTGTCAAATGAAAAGGATACATCTAACAATGTAGGAATGTTATTTATCCACGGGTAAACCCGAGGAAGCTGTAAGAAGTTCAGAAAGAGCTGAAGATATTCCATCCAATCATCTTTTGGAAGAATATTCCACAATCCCCAGGTGTAGCTTCTCTGTTAGATCAATGCTAGTAATCTCCTGTATGCTGATTGAAGGACTATAATAATCATTTCGTTTATACTAAAAAAACTATAAATATCTGACAGTTTTGTACCATAATTGACACTGTTTTGGAACTGCATTCTTTTCACTTGTCTTCTGTCTTCTTATTTGCGACTTAGAAGGGTTCTAGCATTTGAGTGCTCAAGTTGTACGCAGTATATTAAGAATCTAAGCTCTAGATATAACATGGTCAATAGTGAAGTTGCAAAGCATGAGCAGCATATCTACAACTGAAGAACATCTGGAACTCAAAACAACTCTATCAACCAACACCAAAGTCAGAATTTTCAAAACGAATGTCAAGACAGTTCTACTGCATGGGGCGGAAACCTGGGGAACTACGAAAGTCCTCATCCAGAAGATACAAGTATTTATTAACACTTGTCTACGAAAAATACTTCGGATTTGTTGGCCAGACACTATGAGCAACAACTCACTGTGACAGAGAACAAACCAGATTGAAGTGGAAGAAGAAATCAGGAAGAAGCGCTGGAAGTGGGTAGGACACACATTGAGGAAAGTAACGAACTGCGTCAGCAACGCAAGCCCTCATATGGAATCTTCAAGGCCAAAGGAAAAGAGGAAGACCAAAGAATAAATTACGCCGAGAAATGGACACAGACATGAGAAGAATGAACAAAAATTGTATAGAACTAGAAAGGAAAGCCCATGACAGAGTGGGTTGGGGAATGCTGGTCGGTGGCCTATGCTTCATTAGGAATAACAAGCGTAAGTAAGTAAGTGAATTGCTGACACGCATATTTCGTCCTACTTGAGACTCTTCAGTTAGTTTTACCTCCATACTACTGTTGATTTCTTCACTGAAATTTGATTTCAACAAATATCTCATAAGAAATCAACATGTAATCCATTAATTATTCAACAATCATGATGTTTCTACAAAAAGTATTATCACATTATAATGAAGTATTTTCCATTTCATTATGATCACTATGAATAACAATGTTTATTATTATTATTATTATTGTTTGTAATTTGTAGATAATCAACCATCTTCTTTAACTTATCCACATCTATCTCATACACATTGTTTATCATTATCTAATAATAAATGTCAACAAATGAATACAAATTATTCAATGAATTCTAATAATCATCATAATAATAATGATGAAATGGAATTTGATGAAGATGGTATTGTACGTCATTTAAATACTTCACAACGTATTAAATTAACCGAAGATTTATCTATTGTTGAAACAAATATTAATGTATTAAATGATTTATTAGCTGAATTAAGACCAGATACTATAACGATAGATGATTTGAATTTACTCAAAGTAAGTATGTAAAGATTTCATAGATTTTCATCAATTTCATATGTTAAAGATAAACTTGTGTTTTGGATCAGATTTATTTGTTTTAATATATAGATATTGGTACAATGAAACACTAAATAGATATGCGCCACAAAAATCTCATTTGATATGTGTGAAGGCTGTGATACTGCTCGGGTGCCCAAACTGAAGCAGGTGGTTTTCTTAGGGGACCATACTCGGAAACTTCGACCTGAAGGTCTGATCCACAAGGCAGTGGAGCATCGTAAGGAGATGCAGTCCCATGATAGCCGGTGACCAACAATAGGTTCATACTCCATTTGTTTCTTCAGGATACTGGAGCCCATGTGCACCATTGATTTGGAATATGGTTTACCGACTCCCCCAGGTAGATCTTCCGTGTTCACCAACCCGGTTAAAGTGCCGGACATTCTCTTTTCGTCCTCTCAATTTCGTAAACAACAGTAATGCCGCGAGAAGACAGTGAGTAGGACTTCTTTCTCAGAGGCTATATACGCGTGGCCATGTGAGAGCATTTGGAGAGGGAGAACGGACTCTCCTCACTCTCGGCCGTATTAGGGCATTTGGAGGTTACAAGTATACTTGTTTTTGAATGATAGATTACATGAACCAAACGAATTGAATACTTTTTGAGTGGATCTTAAAGCATTATTCAGTTAAAAAGTTTAAGAGAGGAATGTTAAATAAATAGTAGTTCAATATAAAAGTATCAAATCAAATCTGGGCACTTTGTTTCAAAGAAATTGTACTTAAAAATAATATAGTTAGTTAGTTATACAATATACCCTTGTAGGTCAAGGTAATTTTACATTGGTTTTCAGGAGAACCAGACACCATCCAGACTTTCACGTGACAACCCAATCCCGTTTAGCAGGAAAGCCAGAGACCGCCCAGTCTTAAATTTTATATTTTGAGCAGTACAGCTGAAATCCCGCTTCACAGAAGAACCAGACATTGTATAGGTTTTAACGCCAGAATCTGAATAGTACAGCTCAATCCTATGGTGCAACCACACATGTGCCAAGCACCCTGGTGGACCATTCATATGCACATTCACGTCACATGTATAATAATTATCCCGATCGATGATCTCGTGAATCAACTATGCACAGTACGAACAGGACAAATTTGACCTATTCTGCTTACACGACAGTCTATATCATTAATGTTAGCAATGGTGACATGCCTTACAATGTCCCAATCACAATAGCCCTTAAGAACACTGGAAAGCAATCACCAGTGTGAATGAAATCAGTTAACCAGCAAACCAATTTTATGCATGAATAGTCAGCAAAACTTGCCAAAGCAATGCCGAACCATCCACAATATCAATGGCAAACCTTCAGTTTCATATGAGGCCTTCAGCTCTACATAGCCATTTAGCTGATACTGCATACAACACATATGTAGGGTAGTAAACGAAATAGCCCAGCTTAAATCGTTAGGGCTTAAATAACGCTTAAAAGCCATTGTCTGGTCTCGGAATACAATTACTAGACCATGAAGATCATTTTTATCGCATTTGCGAAATTTTCATTTTTGCAACTTTTCAGACCCTAAGTTAGGGGTAGTATAATTAAAAGATTGTGATCAAAGGGTGGTCAAATAAAAAACTTATGCACTGTTAACATATTGGTGTGGTGTGTGCTATTGATATCGACAGATATAAGTAGTATGTATCATCAATGGAGAATGAGATGCCTGGAGGCAGAAGGTTAAGAAGATCAAATAAAAGAGAATGATTGGTGTGGAAACGAAAGAACAATGAAGTCTGAGACGATTGATTGATATTTTGTTAATAAAGTATTCACTGTATGGTTCTCAGATTTTACTAAGATGTTCTGTAATTTTATGTTGAAATGAATTTGATTGTCAAAATCATTAAGCTATTGGTACAACATGTTGTTTAGTGTAACAGATAAGTTGAAGAAAATGTGACAGTGACCAAACAATTATGTGGGATCATTCTCAGAAGTTGTTGATTGTTGATCTCATCCCTGTTAATACGTCTATAAGATATGATCAGTAGTGGGAAGATGATTTAAACTTAATCCCAGTCAAGCAGATCCATTCACTATTTTCTAATTGTGTTGTTTTTAGCTTAATAACTCTTTTTACTACTGCTGATACTGTTACTATTTTTATGCGTTTTTGGGTTTATCGTGATAATTTCATCTTTTTTGCTGAAGTGGTGTGGCAAGTTGAATTGATGGTCATATGTACCAGATTTCGTGTTGTCTATAACTGAGTGACTGGCTGGAAAACGTAGTAATATGCAACTACCTCCTCTTAGTTTTCAGTTAGTCAAAGTATAATAATATGTTTTAAGGGAGCTACATTAATTGAACAGTGTGATGATTAAATTACACAACAGAAACTCATGGATAGTCACTACTATGTATATCTGTCAAATAATTACTTCCAACAGTCTATTGCAATCTTTCTTTTATATATTACCACTACTGAATTAACTACTTTTATGAATCCGGTGTCCATCTTGTTGTGTTAATGAGGTATGGTAACTTGGACCGATGCATATATATGTGCCTGGTCCTACGTTGACAGTCTATAGGGGTTGCATTTGATGAATACGACATAATAAATAACTTTCCGATTACTGCTTATACTCTTACTACCTCTACTACTACGGGATTTGAATTGACATTTGTATCTGTGTGTAATGTAGTATGGCAACTTGAAAAGATATACGTGCACACGAAGTTCTGCGTTGTTACTGAATGACTGACTTATTCAGTGAACTAAAGATATTGTATTCAACAGGATATTCAAGTTATGTAATTAATTCTACCTTGAGGTTATCCACATTATTGAATGTGTTGCATCACTTCTGGTCAATTTCTTATTTATTTATTGGCTGAGAACTACATATTGTAATGTAATTTTTCATTCAAGATTACATTTTAAACATTAAGAGTTCAGACACAATGGACATGCCATTATAGTATAATTTAATATACCGGATGAAAAGCACAAATACAATGGACGTTTTGGATTAAATGAAATCTCTTAAGTAAATTACACTTTAGTATACAATAATTACTTACTTATGCCTGTTACTCCTCGTGGAGGAGCACTCGCCATCCAACCCTGTCTTGAGCAATTCTTTCCAGTTCTTTCTAGTTGTTATTCATCCTTTTCATATCTGCTTCTATTTCTCGACGTAGTGTGTTTTTCGGTTTTCCTCTATTCCACTTCCCTTCATGATTCCAAGTTAAGGCTTGCCTCGTAATGAAGTTTGTTGATTTCTTTAATATATGTCTTGTCCACTTTTAACGTCTTTTCCTAATTTCCTCTTCAGCTGTAATGTGGTTTGTCCTCTCCCACAGAATGGTGTTGTTGATGGTGTCCGGCCAATGGATGTTAAGTATCTTGCGTAGACAACTATTTATAAATAGTTGTACCTTTTTGATAATGATTGTAGTAGTTCTCCAAGTTTCAGCTCCGTTCAGTGGAACTGACTTGACGTTCGTATTGACAATTCTTACTTTGATGTTGGTTGACAGTTGTTCTGGGTTCTATATGTTATTCAGTTGTGGGAATGCTGCCCTTGCTTTGTCAATCCTCGCATTCACATCTGCATTCGATCATCCTTGTTCACGAATGATGCTTTCTAGATATGTGAACGTTTCCACATTTTCCAGTTTCTCCATCATCAGCACAAACTCTAGATAGAAGTGGAATGTTCGGATATCTCCACATGTGGTTCACAGGTTATGTTGTAGACCTCGATATTATAGAGAAATGATGTGGAGAAATTCGAACACTTCATTTCTACCTGAAGTTTGTGCTGATGATGTCGTTTAGAAGAATTATGAAAGCTCCACGATCAAACCATCCACCTCTGAGAATAAAACTCCATTAAAATCATCCATCTGAGCTACAAATCTTCTCCATCATCTCAAGATATATATTGAATTATCTAAGAATGATTACTTCAAAACTGATTTGATTTATACTTCTAGTCGAATAAAGATCTGATATTATTTTCTATTAAATTATTGACTTAGAATTAATTCTGTTGACCTAGAAATGGATATTAATATTTGTAATTGACTACAGGATAAGTAGTTGTCCGTTATCCTTAAGTATATCTTTCAATATGGATAAATAATGAAGATTGAAGATTTGTTCAAGAATAAAGAACTAATGATAATTTTCTTTTATAACTTCTCTATTCATTGTATTTCACATTTCATTAGTTTTTCTATTATTGAACTATCTATTCAAACTTAATTCGATAGGAATGTGTGTATGTGAGGTAGGTGGTTAAGCGTGATAGTTTGAACCCCAATGACATGACCTTAAATGAACTGCAAAATAAATAAAATAATAATAAAAGATTTTAAATTCACTTGGTATTGTTTTACTTGAATTTTCCCATTGATGATTAGGACTGTAATTGATCAGTCTATCTCTTATTGACATATGCGCGTACTGTGCATATTGCCTTACTGCACAAGCATTATAAGTAAAGATGGATATTGGCTAACAGTGGAATCCAGGACTCACGTTTTGTCCTACTTGGGACTCATCAGCTAGATGTACTTGCATCTCCAAGTTGGTGTTCACTCCGGGACTCGACCCAGTACCGTTCACTTCAAATGCCATCGTGTTATCTATTTAGGTGCCGAATTCCAGAATCAACATCAACTCTGAGATGCAGGTACATCCGATTGACGAGTCCGGAGTAGGACGAAACGCGCGTCATGGATTCCACTGCTATCCACTACCCATCTTTGCTTATAATGCTTGTGCAGTAAGGTAATATCGAGGCAATACGCGCAGTAAGCATATATGTCAATAAGAGATAGACTGATCAATTGCGGTGTTAAAAATTAATAGGAAGATTCAAGTAAAGCAATACCAAGTGAATTAAATTTCACCGCATTGCAAAAGCAAACGGCTATCAGGACTCAGCAGGTAAGTGGATAACGTGATGGAGTTTTAAGTGAACAGTACTGGGTTCGAGTCATAGGAAAGATTTGAATTAATTGGAAAGCAAAATTTTTCTATTCACTTTTGTATTGGTTGTTTGAATCTTCCCATTGATGTTTAAAACTGCAACGAATCATTCTCTTATTGACTTATGGGTATCGTGTGCGAATTGTCTCGATATTACTTTATTCAGTAGCTAAGTAGATAACGCGATAGCGTTTAGAAGTGTCCCACAATAGAACGAAACGGCCGTCCAGTGCTTCCAAGTTTTCCATGATGGTCTAGCTTCAATTGACTCATGATCTCAACCATTGGAATTACTATAATATCCACGAAAACCCTTCTGATATAAATAATAATAGTATTCTGTAAATCAGTTCCAAGAGTTATACTGTCTTCAATATTCTACCGGCCATGTTATTATCATTATATATAAAGATTACTAATGACTAGAATTTTTCTTACATTTATGTATAGGTAGTGATTTTTGATAATTGGAAGTAGTTTGTGGAAAACCCTCCGCCTGTTTCGAATTATCTGACATCTTAATGTAGGGTACATGATATTGAGTAACTTATAACAAAGGTCAATATATTATAACCTGATTTATAGGATTCAATCAGGATTAAAGGACTAAATAAACACGTCATTAGCCGCTACTCAGTGATTAACCAATTGCAAATATATCTTAGCCCTACAGAAAGTTAGTCCCTGCCGAGATAGATCGGCAATAAAATCTCTGATTGTGAAGCTGGGTAACACGAGGTCAAGTCCTCCAAGGCTTATCAGTCTCCTTGAGTTTAAAAACACACCTTGGTGGTGAGTGTCGAATAGCACGAAACTTAGATCTTGATTTTGCAGTCGACTAACTCCAATGACTATCTTACACTTTAACGTACTACACTCAATATCGAGTCACTTAGACTAGTAGCCGTATTGCAACTTAATCGATAGAATTCAATAAGCACTAAAGGATTAGATAAAAATGAAATTGGTCACTACTTAATAGTCGACTAACTGTTTCATTAATGATTAAATATTGATGGTTAAGTTAAATTGTGTTCATTTATGATCTATGAATGAGTGGAAGATATTTAGGATTTCATAATAAGTAGTAAATCACTCGAATGCTAGAACCCTTCTAAGTCGCAAATAAGAAGACAGAAGACAAGTGAAAAGAATGCAGTTCCAAAACAGTGTCAATTATGGTACAAAACTGTCATATTTATAGTTTTTTTAGTATAAACGAAATGATTATTATAGTCCTTCAATCAGCATACAGGAGATTACTAGCATTGATCTAACAGAGAAGCTACACCTGGGGATTGTGGAATATTCTTCCAAAAGATGATTGGATGGAATATCTTCAGCTCTATCTGAGCTTCTTGGAGCTTCCTCGGGTTCACCCGTGGGTCGTCCTCACAGTATAGAATAATTGTAAAGGTGTCTTGCTAGCTTCTTACTTTTTTACAGTTTCACTCCCTCCATGTCTGAAATGTACAAAGATGCATTTGATTATATTGACAAACTTTAACTATGTGAAAACATTGGAATTCTCTTGAAATTTTATTTATTTATTAAAACACATAAACATTGGTACAAGGAGGCATCAATCACATATGCGTCACATAAATCATTCGATTTGTGTGAGGGCTGGGATACTGCTCGGGTACCCAAACCAAATCAGGTGGTTTTCCTAGGGGGCCACACCCGGAGCCTTCGACCTAAAGGTCTACCCCACAAGGCAGTAGATCAACTTTAGGAGATGCAGTCCCATGGTATCTGGTGATCAACGATTGGTTCATACTCCATTTGTTCCTTCAGGATCCTGGAGCTCATGTGCACCATTGATTTGGAATGAAGGTTTTCCCACATCCTCAGGTGGATCTTCCGTGTCCACCAACTAGACTAAAGCGCCAGACATTCAGTTTTCATCTTCTCAATTTCGTAAACAACAATCTTGATGCGAGAAGGTAGTGAGTAGGGTATCACTGACAGTGGTTGTATGCACACGCCATGTGAGAGCATTTCAAGAAGATCTGACTATTCCTACTCTCGGCCGTAACAGCATTTGAGGGCATCATTGTCTATGGAAAGAGGATCATTGAATTGTCAATATTACTTCAATGATCATTCATACAAAGAATGTAGAACTAATCAATCTAAAACGGTATCTTTTGAATATCTTACAATGTATTATTGTCATTTTAGTAAGTATTCAATTATATTATCATTCTATTATTATTTATTATCATTATTATAGGAATTAAATTGTACATGTCGTATTATGCATCAACGTGTTATGGAATTTTTAAGTCAAGTATCCGATGAAGAAGTAATTAATAATTTAATTCAAGTTAATGATCATTTAACAAATACACTTTTACGGTTAGTTTCTATGTATATATAAATATAATTATTACGTAACTTATTCATTCATTGAGTATTATTTTATTAGTGTTGAGCCCCGTTTTTCTGGTAAGCATTTTTTTTGTTTAGCGAGTTAGTTTTCTACGGGATGGGGCCCGTTAACTCCCATGTCCAACCCTCTTCCTTCATTATCCGGGTTTCGGACCGGCAGTAACACCAGAGGGGGTCGAGTTAAAATTGCTTACTCTCACCTTTTCTCTTATTATATAATTATTACGCAACATATCCACTCAATGAGTATTATTTCATTATTGTGAATCATATATATTTATTAGTGTAGAGACAGAAGAACCCTTCCACTATGTGGGCACTTAAGACTCAATTGAATATAAATTTTTTCGCTCGATTCGTTCCTTTTTTAGTTTATATTTATCGTATGTTTAATTTTACTAAGTATTTTTATAGTAGTATTATATACATTATAGTGTGTTATATTGAATAAGAACGCTGTCGTATGATATATCCATTTATCTATTAATTCACTCATATTGATAATAGGACCGATAACATTCTATGTATCAGTCCCCTCCCCAAATGACCTGGTACGGCTGAAGGTGGGGAGAGTTAGCACTCCCTCTTGAAATGCTCTTACATGGTTACGCGTATACAGCTACTACTAGTGAAATCCTACTCACTGTCTTATCGTGTTGTTTACGAAATTGAGAGGACGAAAAGCGAATGTCCGACAGGGGAACAAACCGAGTTGGTGGATATGGAGGATCAACCTAAGGGAGTTGGAAAACCATCATTCCAAACCAGTGGTGTGCATGGTTTCCCGGATCCTGAGTGAACAAATGGCGTATGAACCAATCGCTGATTACTGGCTACAATGGGACTGCATCTCCTTACGTTTCTCCACTGCCTTGTGGATTAGACCTTTGGGTCAAAGGCTGCGGGTATGGCTCTCTGAGAAAACCGCATGGTTCGGTTTGGGCACCAGGGCAGTATCCCAGCCCTCACACTAATCAAGTGACTTGTGTGGCGCATATGTATTCGGTGCACCTTTTTACCAATATTTGCGTTCAAATAAATAAAACAAATAATAATAAATTCTATGTATCAACTGACACATCGACTAATGAATCACACTCAGGAAGTAGACTCTTCTTTATCCTGGAGTTCCTTGTAACCCATTGGTAAGTCAGGAGAAAAATAAGTAGAAAGCAGATCAGTTCTTTATCGTGCTCAATTCAATTATGACTCAAGACTCTAACAACAATATAACTGAAATATCTGATCACATAAATACACACTTAGACCATTATAGTCAGTACATAACTTAGTCATATGTGATGCAAAACCAAATTAATAGGGGGATTAATTAATAATTAGTATGAGGTTGTGGAGATTGTTAAATTTCATTGAGTTCATGAACTAATAAGAACCTGGAAGCACTGGATTCTCGTTTAACCCTAATATAAGACTCTTCAACAGTGCGCATTAATCAGTAACAAAACTCGAACAATAAGAAATATGACAAAGATTTTTGAGTCAAATGAAAGTTTAGAAATAGGAGAACATAAAGTACAACAGTCCAAGCGTTCTTCATATATCGGTTTCCACAACAAATACCCTCCCCCTATTTATATAACTTTGTTGATAGATTTCAACCAACTTTAAACGAATAGACAAACTATGAAATCGATTGCTTCTAAATTATCAGTCAATGTGGGAATATCCTATATCCTATTAAACCGGATCATTTGTGACTTCAGTAGTCTAGTCTAGTAATTTCTTCGATGATGAAACATCTGGATGATCTAGATAGTCATTTATATCAGGTAGTATCAGTTCTCTCAACGTTCTACGTAAATGTCTATGACTTCGAACAAGCACCAAATCTTAGTTCATAGTCTCTTGTCGACTATTTCGAACCTCTGAACACTAAATGATCCAAGGGAATTTGTCAAATAGACAATATAATACTTGACATGAATATATGTATTCATTCAAGTCACTGCACCTTACATTCATATTGGTTAAGAGATAATTGAAAAAAGAATTTGGACATGAAATGTCATGTTTTAAAAAAATATAATATGAAATCAAATAACGGAAAGATAGTTGCGCAACATCATGAGTTGACTATACTTAGCAATATAGATCATTGTATGCTAACTCATATGTCTACATCGCTTGGTGTTCATCATGGGTTCTGAAGGCTCATGGGTACAATAACCATTAGGATCATGGATATTCATTCTAAAATATCAGAAACGTTTTTTCAAACACTTTTTTCTCTGTGTGTAAACGGAGATAAATCTTTTGTTGTTTTTATTCTTGATGATAAATAAGGTCTGATTCAATAGTCGTTTCGGTGAGAGGGGGGGGATTACAAAGTTTCTTGGAAATTGTTAAACTTTCCTAGTTAACATTACAGAATAATCTTAGTTACATACAAATCTTAAAGGTCAGGAAGCAGTGAGTAACTGTTTCATCTAATTATAAGACTTTAGAAGTACATATGCACCAGAGATTGAATTTAGGATTTTTAGTCTTCAATACAAATGCCCAATCCCTAGATAATTGAAAATACACTTGGTATTGTTTGCTTGTATCTTCCCACTGTTGTTTAGGACTGTAATTGATCAGTCTCTTGTTGGCATATGTGCGTACTGTGTGGATTGCCTCGATATTGCCTTAGGTCACTAGCTTCATAAGCAGAGATGAACAGTGATTGGCAGTGGAATCCAGAACGCTCGTTTCTTCTTATTTGAGACTCATCATCTGGATGTACCTGCATCCCAGAGTTGATGTTCACTCCAAGATAATGCGATGGTGTTTGAATTGAACAGTACTGGTGTTCGAGTTCCATAATGAATATCAACTCTATGATGCAGGTACATCCAACTGACGAAACATACATTCTAGATTCCACTACCTGCCATTATCCATCTTTACTTAATCATTGGAAATATTTCACATGATATCATAAATTGATTTAAATTGTAAATTTGTTTTCATTGAAATTTTCATATTTTCACTTCCTGTTTTGTTTATATGGATATATAAATGTTAATAAGTTAAAACATGGAATAGTGTCATATAACTTAATTGTTTATAATACGATAGATTTTGAATCAACTTTTATTAAACACTACAGTTAAAAAGGTTTATAGTGAATGAAGACTCAAGTGGGGAGAACTACTTTATTGTTTTAATGTACATTTACATAGTAAAATTTCGAAATTATACATCACAAATCGTACATCTTCCTTGAATTGTCTTTTACAGACTTCATTATTCTTTCATCCCTGTTGTTATCTTGATTACTTTCAGTTTCTTTCTCTCTTCTCTTCATTTCAATCTTTTTAAAATTTCTGATCGCAGACATTCTACATCCGACTGGTGTTATATGCTTCTTGTATCTGCATACATAAGTAGACTATATCACAGGTACACGTTACTTTCAATGAAAAAGTATAGTAGTATTCCCCTCCCCATTGGATTCTGCTATATGACATATCTGCCCCCAAATGCCCTGTTACGGCCGAGAATGGAGAATGTCAGCCCTCCCTCTCTAATGCTCTCACATGTACCACGTCCATACAACCACTGCCAAGTACGTCCTACTCACTGCCTTCTCGTATCACGGGTGTTGTTTACGAAATTGAGAGGACGAAAAGCGAATGTCCGGCGCTCTAACCGGGTTGATGGACACGGAAAATCCTTCTGAGGATGTGGGAAAACCTTCATTCCAAACCAATGGTGTGCATGAGCTCCAGGATCCTGAAGGAACAAATGGAGTATGAACCAATCGTTGATCACCAGATACCATGGGACTGCATCTCCTAAAGTTGATCTACTGCCTTGTGGGTTAGACCTTTAGGTCGAAGGCTCCGGGTGTGGCCCTCTGAGAGATAACGTGGTTCGGTTCGGGCACCAAGGTAGCATTATAGCACTCACACAAATCAAGTGACTTGTGTGGCATATATGTATTCGGTACCTCTTTGTACCAATATTTATGTGTTCAAATAAATAAATAAATATGACTTGTCTGATAGTGTCCTAAACAATTGAGTCTTATGATTTTTAGGAATTCACATATAAGGAATCAATACTGAATAACAGTTACTAGTCTTATTTTCCATTTCATGAAATCATATCATGACCGATTATCTGATTTCTTCATCCAGTCTCAGAATCGGCAAATAATGCCTAGTACTGAATTCTTTTTGGAAAACTGTTATAAATTACTTTCACGGCATCACAAGTTGTATCACAGTATGAATATATCTATAAATGATTGCAAACTTACTATGCATAGGATATATATTCTCAGCTTTGGTTTCATTTACACGGTATGACAATTGGATATAACAACTGTTAATAGAAAATGATTAAAAACCACAATGAGTTGCAGGATATCCTCAACTCGATGAAATGAAGTTTCTAAAACCTAAAGTAGGACTTCTTACACGGATGTGTTTTATAATTGAACTAACCTCATGGTGACATCGAATATGACATCTATTGATCCAGACTGTTTTCATCAATTAGATTATCACATATACTTACACCATAAATCAAACATACAAACTTCTTGTCTATTTTCATAATGTCACATATGAAAGAGTACGATACGTGTACACTCTTATCCTAATCAAAGTAATTTACAATTTGACGACAGAAATCACATACCATACTTGTCAATTCTGATCACTCATGAATCTCACACAATTCGAACAGTTTATATTTCATTATACGATATGACAAGCACTGATTTGTTCACTGTGTAAAAATGCCCCCAAATGCCCTGGTACGGCCGAGAGTGGGGAGAGTCCGCTCTCCCTCTCCAAGTACTCTCACATGGCCACGCGTATATAGCCTCTGCCAGGGAAGTCCTACTCACTGCCTTCTCGTGGTGGGGGTGTCGTTCACGAAAATGAGAGAACGAAAAGCGGATGTCCGACGCTTTAGCCGGATCCCAAACCAAATCAATGGTGCACATGGGCTCCAGTATCCTGCGGAAACAAATGTAATATGAACCAATTGTTGGTCACCAGCTTCTATGAGACCGCATCTCCACAACCGTCACACAAATCAAATGAGATTTGATTGGGGCCTATGTATTTGGTGCCTCCTTGTACCAATATTTATGTGTTAAAATAAATAAATAATAAATAAATTATTCGTAACAATTTGTATTATCCTTTTTAATGTTTAGTGATAAATGCTGACTTCATGATAACACTGAAATCTAGGTATAAACATTTGAAGATTCCAAAATAGAACCGTTCTTTATTGTCAAGTATGTATATCTATACGTAGATTGAAACATTTAATACTCTTAACATGAATAATAATGATACTCATTACCATTCAACTGATGTATTCCTTTCTCTTTTTCATTCTCTTCAGATTCTATTTATATAATTCAACTTCTTTCTTTTTGATATTGTTGTATGTTCACAGTAACAGAATCAATTGTTGATTGATCATTCTTTTGTTCTAATATAAAAATTCAAACCTTTACGAGTCATTTCTTTCTTATATGATTTATGAACAATTCAATTATGGATATACTTAGTGTTTTTCTCCTTCTCTTACTCTCTCTTTCACTCTTTCCACTCCTCCCTTTATAATCATGTCTTATTATTTACTGGATATTTATTGTTTATTATAATTTGCCACAATTATTGTTGTTAGTGTTTTTACTGTTATTCTTCTCTTCTTCATTATTTGTTTATTCTTTTGAGAGATCACACTAATCTTTAGTCTCCCTTTCTATCTATCTGACACACACACACACACACATACGCCTAGAGACAGGATTTCTTTCTCGTTCTTATTACAACTTATAAATTATATCATGTAAATAGATTGGTTTCCGTGTTGTTTCATTTTGTTTTTAGATCAATTCATATGTTACATATCATACATACTACTAACTACTTTTAATCATTTATTCATTTTCATATTATTATTCATTGAATTCCCATTTCTCTCTCTCTCTCTCTCTCTCTATCTCTCTGTCTCTCTACTCTCTCTCTCTCCCTCTTTCTCTATCGTATACCATTTTATGTTTCCTATTGTATTTTTTTGATTCTACTGACTGCTTTGAATGTTTTTTTTTTGTAGATGCCTTGGTTTCGATTGAAATTTTTGTTTTATTTTGTTTTTGTTTTTTACTACTGTTACTTGTATCTAATACATTCATAGACAGATAAATATGAATTAATATTGTCCTATTGTAAATCATCATCATTTTTCATTTTGAAGTTCCATCATTTTTTTCTATCCAGGGAAAATGTATTAGTATTAAAAGGGGTATTGTGGATACTATGATAATTTCAATATCAATGGTTAAGATTTTGAGTCCGTGGAAGCTAGACCATCATGGGAAACCTGGAAGCACTGGATGGCCGTTTCGTCCCATTGTGGGATTCCTCAGCAGTGCGCATTCACGATCCCACCTCGTGAGATTCAAACCCAGTACCTATTGGTCTCGCACACGAGTGCTTAATCTCTAGACCACTGAGATGGCAGGTATTCATCGGTGTTAATATGTAACTTCAACTAATCCAAGAAATTGAGTGACACATCCACCATTGTCATCAGTGAGTTACTATCTCACAACAGACTCGGCTGAACTTCATTGGTCACTGCTTCTGACTAGAACTCCAGAAAATATGTCATGAAGCCAGTTGCTAGTGAGCATATGTTGATTAGTATTAGAGGGGGTTTTGCAGATATTATAGCAATTGTAATGGTTGAGAAAATGTATTAAAAACCTTTTAGGAGAAAAATTACAAAAGAAAGTAATTATGACCAAGTTATACACAGATATCATCATCACTGAACAGCGAATGTGTTGATTTCCTAGAAACTGCCCAGCGAATAACCATATGTTGAATGTTGGACACATGCTTTTGAACAATTTCGTTTTAATATGCGCATAGCGAACTTGTTGATTATTGAATGAGAGATAAGTTTTAACGAAACAACTTAATGTCTTGTTGTTGAGTTCTTAATTGATTTATTTGTTGAATTGTTGTCATTGTTTGATGGTATCAAAAGTAACATGCCTTATATTGATACATAGTTTTTAATCTGAGACTGGTTTAGTTGTGTGGACTTGGGATTGTCTAGACTAATTCGCGCGAGGCCGCAGGTCCTGGGTTCGAGTCTCTCGTGCGCACTGCTGGGAGTCCTACACTACGACGAAATAACCGTCCAGTACTTCCAGATTTTCACTGGTTGTTTAGCTTAAATCGACTCGTGAATTCAACTGTGAAGACACTACCATCTCCATGCTGATGTGTTTTCTTGAGATTATTACTTTTAGTTTCTAGTTATGGCTTATTTTAAGTAGTATTTATTATGGTTGCTTGCTCTCTCTCTTTCCATCTATATTTATTCTTGCCATAGATATGCTCGTGTATATCCATATCATCTAACTAATAAAAAGCTTATCTATTCAGGGTATCCACGTGTTATATATTCCCAGTCATGCGTTATACATATATGAAATTATGACTAGCACAGTAGTAATTTAATGGGATGACTAAATGAAATGACTAAATATCAGTCTATAAAGTTAATGACTATCGATCGGTAATAAATAAAATGTCCTCTTAATTAGTAAACCATTTGATAATCATTGAATTAGTGATCTTTGAGGATATGATTCAAATTGATTATATTATGATATGCAAATACACTCATCGTTTTGAGATGGTGGATAAGATTTGTAGCTCAGGTGGATGATTTTAGTGGAGTTTTGTTCTTTGAGCTAGATGGTTTGGTCGTGGAGCTTTCATCGTTCTTCTGAACGACATCATCAGCACAAACTTCAGATAGAAATGAAGTGTTCGAATTTCTCCACACGTGGTTCACAGCTCATCCTGTACACCTCGATGTTGGTTGGTTCTTGTTGACTTTAAACCTGTCATTGTTTACTTCTTTGTCTTGATTGTATCTCCCATTGCACAAATATAGCAGCAAAAATCAAACCAATGGCAGATACAGCCAAATTCGGACACTTCACTTCTACCTGATTTTTGTACCGATAATGTCATTCAGAAGAACGATGATAGCTCCACGAACAAACCATCCACCTCAGTGAACAAAACTCCATCACACTCATCGCTTAGTTATTTCCTCTAATTCTTCATTTAACATTGTTTGAATGATTAAGATTAGGAAAAATCTTAACCAGTAACTTAATATCTGTTTCTTTATCTGATCATTTTTAACCATTTACAGTTACGATCGTTTTGAACGATATTATCAACGTGCAATACAGAATTCCGATAATAATAATTCTTCTAACAATCAACAAATGGATTCTGCATTATGTTTAACGAATTCTAGACCACAACTATGTTTAACTGCTTCATCAAATGACCATATTGATTCAAGACGTCATCGATCGAATCATCATCATCATTATCCGCAGCAGCAACACCACCACCACCAACAACAGTTGGCAATTACAGCCGGACCATCGTCTCTACGTCGTACAACTCTAAATGAGTCTACAGTGAATGGAGTTGTTAGTAGTCGAATGAATAGTTTGCACTATAATCATGCAGATTCAGGTAATGGTAGTAGTACTGCTGTTTCAACCACCAACAATCATCATAATGATAACGAGGATGAAGATGACGATGAAAGTTTGTTGGATATAAGTGAAGGTCCCTGTGGTGGTGTAAGTAACCTCTACTTCACATTCTCAACTAACCTTATTGTTGAGATAGAATTGTTACATTTAAAAAGTATTTGATTAAAGAAATTTTTTTTTGTTTTTGATAGTTTAAGTCAAAAACTGATTTTATTTGAACAACTATTGGTAACTAAAGAAGCATTGAACAGCTGTTTCGTCATATTAGAGAACTCTTCAGTGCACATCCACTACCCTAATAGGGATTGGACCTATCATCTTAAGATCACATGATGAGTATTTAGATTTTAGACTATTGAGCAGGTATCCAATAGTTTATCTAATTAAAAATAAGATGACAAACCTTCTAACTGAACGCTTGAACTGGTTTCCTAAGTTATTCTATAACCTCAGGCTAACTCATCGTACACGACAACTTGAACACAAGAGAAAAGGCGTGAAAGGTGGAAAGAACGGTTTATTCCTAGGTTGGATTATGAACAGAAAGTTGAGGATATTTCGGAAGGCCTTAGGCTTCTAGAATGTTCTGGAACTTTACTAAACATAGTAGAAGGACAAGTAACCATCGAGTCAGAAATGTGACATGTAACTCTTCACTTTCTGGATGTTTCTGAGAAAGTTCTACTCAACTCTAATTGGATAAAATGTTTCCCAGCGTTTTCACAGCCCTTCTGGGCTTTTTCCGACGACTATTCTGGGTCTCGCTGACAAAATAATTTTATCCTATCAAATCGGTTTCTGATAGATGGTAGTAATAATATGTAATGACAGTTATTTTTATTTCAATGACATTAGTGTTCGTCTTAACAGTGAAATTCTTCGTCACAATATTTCAAAATGTGTCAATGATCGAGTGTAAACTTTTATATACCTTCCAAAGATGGATAGTGGCCAACGGTGGAATCTAGAACGTGCGTTACTTCCTATTTGGAACTCGTCAGTTGGATGTACCTGCATTGCAGAGTTGATGTTCATTCCGGTACTCGAACTCAGTACTGTTCACTTTAAACGCCATCGCGTTGTCCAATCAGGTACTGAGTCCTAGTGGCCAACTAATTGTGCAATGTGGTCTCAAATAGGACGAAATGCGCCTCCTGGATTTCACTGCTAACCACTGTTCATCTTTGCTTATAAAGCTTGTGAATTAAGGCAATATCAAGGCAATAACGCACAATATGCACTTATGGCAATAATAGACTGATCAATTACAGTCCTAAACAACAATGAGAAGATACAAGCAAAAAGTAGCAAATGAATTTAAAACTTCACCCCATTGCACAAGCAGGTGTCTATCAGGACTCAGTAGGTAAGTGGATAACGCGGTGGCGTTTGAAGCGAGCGGTACGTTGATAGTCCCAGGTATAAATATCGTTCATTAAAAATTTCAAATGAAAACCGATAGGATATTAATCGTACATCTTATACATCAACATGATGTAAAATATATCTATTTTTTTATTTTATCCTTTTCTCTAGTCTACAACTAGATCTCATGATTCTGATGAAACTGATGAAATTGCTAAATGGTTATCTAGTCGACAGTTGATACCTGTAAACTCACAGCAACAATCACAACACAGCCATCGTCCTTTTCAACCCCAACAACAGTCATTGACTACAAACAGTCGTTCACATTCATGTGTACGAACAAATCATTTAAGTGCTATTACAAACACTACTACTACCACTACTTCTGCTGTGTTTCTTTATATGCAACACAGAATCCATCAGATAAATCCGTTCATGTAAGTGTAAACTCCTTCCAAAGCTATAATTCTATAAGCGGTCTGATTCGAAGATTGACTTCTGTTGAAGTACAATTGAAAACCTTAGAAGATTCGACAAGTATTTTTTACTCCTAGTATGAGATTATAATTATGGTGCTCATTATTGACTTACTTCAAAACTAACTCTCTAAGTTATGATAGGAAATCTTGCCCGGTAGAGTTCAGACATATCAGCAATGAAGCAGTCGTCACTAGGGGATTCTGATCATCGTCGAACTATATCTCAAATCGATTAGATTTGAAAATTTGCCACTAGTTGTCTAACGGTTTGTAAGATCTGAACATCTTGGGCTCGATTTCTTAGTAAAATCATGTTTCCGTACAACCGAAAAGTTCAATTATTGTTTATTGCTTCTTGTTTCCTATCAGTACCCCAACTGATATCAGTTAATTAAACTGATCTCCATTTAAAATCTCATCAGCAAATCTTACGATATTGTTTGCTTATTTTCAAGTGGTTTTTTCAGGGAGCCACACCCCGAGCCTTTGACCTATAGGTCTCATTCACAAGGCAGTGGAGCAACGTTAGGAGATACAGTCCCATGGAAACCGATGACCAACAATAAGTTCATACGCCATTTGTTCCCTCAGAATCCTGGACGCGATATACACAATTGGTTTGGAATCAGGGTTTTGAACTCCTCTAGATGGATCCTCTATATCTACCAACCCGGTTAAAGTGCCAAAGATTCGTTTTTCTTCCTCTCAATTTTTTTCAAAATACCCCAGAGGCGAGAAATCAGTGAGTAGGATTTTCCTGGCAGTGGCTTCATGTAGCCAGGTGGATCTTGGTGGCCTTCACACGCTACTTAAACTCAAATATTCGATGTATAGTGGGATGAATATATCATCAATGTTAAGGTTAGGCAATAAGTACTTAGAAAAGGTGATAATTCACAGAAGTAAGTTGGAAGAAAGCTACTGATCACCTGATTTTTGTTCGTGTGATAACCACGATCAGTGTTTGATGACTTTATGTGACATGGCTTAGAATCATTTCTAGTGACGCAGATGCAATCACTTTTTAACGTCCTCTCGATCTTGAATTTCAATATTTTTTCATACATACCTTTCTACTCTATCGTTGTAAACCAGATTCCCAAATTTTAGCCTTTCTTTTATTACCACATTATTTCGATCTCTCTTGTCATTTCCACCTCGTCGTGCTAATCAGTTACGACAACTTAAACCAACACACATCCGTACCAGGCTTTATGTTGATGATATGTGTGTGTCTTTGTCAGAAATTGATAGGTGTAGACTACCTGGTTGGGATCTGCCAGACGATAGTAATCAATGCTTAGAGACCTTGAATGACAAGGCTCAAAATCGTTTTCAACAGCTCAGGTGTATCCACTCATAGTGTTCTCCCTGTTGGGTCGGCTCTCGGAGAACTTCAACGGAGCCTCCAGAGGCCCAAAAAGGAGCTGAATGGCTTTAGCCAATCAGAGTATGATGGAACGTTCGAGAATTCCAGCGTGGCGTGCTACCATTGGTCGGTAGCATAATGTGACGTTAACGGATTGGCTGAAATATGATGTTGATTTAACAGACGCCAACATCTATAAATACCCTTGATTTTCTGTACTAAAATTTTTATTATTTTTTTTTATTATAAGAAGCTTTATTCAACATTATACTTTTGGTACAACATAGAATTCTCAGCATAAAGTATTTCAACAAGTTTCTTTTTCTTATATCTTGATCGATTGTGACGATAAATTTCGAATGATGACCAGTTAGATGTTAGGAATTCGGTAATCCGCATTTGATTAATGTTCATTCGTTTCAATGCATATTGCCAGCCACCATGATGTCGCTGATTGTACGTTTCTGTATCCCGTATAGCGAAAGGTTGTAAACTTTTCATAAACGCGCCCGAATAGATTGTGAGCACAATAGACATATTGATATGCTAAAACGAACAACAAAACAGATAACTTGAAGAAATATATAGATCGAAGGAACAGGTAGCCCAGATATTCAAGCAGGCCGCCGGATATGGGATAAAGTATTTTCTCTCATACTTGTGTCTTCTCTCTGGTGTTCAAGTTGCTGTGTAGTTCTAGACTGCGGGTTACGGGAAATAGCTTAGGAAACTAATATAGCGTTCAACCTACACGACTTATCACTCCCGAATTCTAATCTTCTGAATTCTTCATATCGTCTATTTTTTCTCCTCCCAAATTTATTTCACTGGATTATACTCCTTGAATAACATCTTCAAACCTTAATCTTTCCGATTACTGCTTATACTCTTACTACCTCTACCACTACGGAATTTTAGTTGACAACTGCATCTCTGTGCTAATGTGGTATGGCAACTCGAACTGTTGTACGTACGTACGTACGAATTTCTATGTTGTTGCTAACTAACTGAATAAATGAAATTTTTGAACGTATATTGCCTTTTAGTTAAAATTCAAATTAATCAACATAAAGTAGAAAAACGTCATTAAAACTAGAAAATGTATTGAATATTTTATAATTTTATCTTTTTTTTTCTTTCTATTGACTGTTTACTATGTAGATGTTAAGTTTATTTTTCCGTTTTCGTTTCTACCTTTTTTTTAATTTTTTCAGTCTCATCAATCTTTTCATGAATTATTGTAGTCACAGGTAAGAAAAAGCATCAACATTATCGTGGTTTGTTTATTTATTTATTTAAACACATAAACATTGGTATTTAATTGTGTCATAGACGTGACTTTGGAGATAACACTCTACGGTTCGTTGTTGTTACCTTGACGTGGTGATCGGGCTTGCCTATCGTGATGAACTAATTGAGCTATACTGGCTGCAACAATCGTTCCTCAAGGTCCTACCATGTCAAGCAGGTCGGTTGAAGAGCGGTAAGACTAAAAGCAACAAACCTAAGGTCCGAAGACGAAGTTGTACTGCTTACTGTACGGAGTTATGATGGCAGTAAGGTGTTTCCTTCAAACAACCAGCATGACAGTGATGCTGCCTTCCCACAATGAGGGTTGGAGTTAGAAAAGGTCCACTCTAGAAATGCCCAACTCACCTAATCTCACCGATATCCGTCTCCGGAAATAAGGTCTCAACAAGTACGGGGATAACACAAAAATTACTCACAAAATGGTCGTGTGTGACTGACTTAAACCAGTTGTCCCTTAAGCACTGCGGTCACGCTCTCAGGTCACTAAGACCATCTCTAATCCAATATCGTTTTCAAGTACCTCCAGAAGAGGATAACACTTTGATCGTCAAACACTTCAGAGCTCGATTCTCTACCAGGAGATTCACTTGTTGACCTAGAATAGTCAGATGATATAGTTCTGTTTAGTGAAAACTTTGACAAAATTCAGAGTCTTATGATGACATTTAACAACTATGAAAGGATATTTAGGATGCTGTTTTCTCCCTCCAAATGTAAAATGTTTCTTCACAATTGGTTTGCGTCATTGCCTGAAATAATGATACGAAACAATGTAGTTGAATGCACCGCCTCCTTCACTTACCTTGGTAGTCCTGATGGTCTGGTATCTGATGAAATCTCAGCATGGATTCCGAAGGCTTGATTGGCTTTTGCTGACTTGCGTCAATTCCAGCGTAGGAGAGATATTCGTCTTCTAACCAAAGGGTGAGTTTACTGCAGAGCGGTTCGCTCCATCCTACTTTACGGATATGAAAAATGACCATTAAGAATAGAGGATATTCGTAGGCTACTTTTATTCGATCATAGGTGTCTTCGAAGAACTGCTGGTGTATTTTGGGACTATTTAGTAATCAAAGCTTCGGTTAGGAATGACGTACTGAGCAAGAATGGGAAATCAAATGATGATGTAGTAAATCTTCAACTGAGTTGGCTAAGATGTGTGCTACGTATATCCACTCAACGCCTATCTCGTTGGGCGATGTTTTCTGGTGTGGGAGTAAGCTGGAAGAAATCTAAGGGCTGCTTAACGAAAACATGGCATCAGTCCATGAAGTCACTAACAATTGAATTGAGTCATATAAATAGGTACAGACTACCTGGTTGGGGTTCGCGTGCTTATCGTAACCAATAGTTAAGGTTTTTGAATGGTGATTCTAAATTCATTTAGTGAATTATATTTTCTTTTCAAGTCGTATGTTCGATGTCTAATCTTTACTGTTATCACTGATATTGTTAATACCTCTACTATACTGGGATTTAGTGTGACAACTTCATCTCTCTGTATTAATAATTGGGTATGGCAACTTGAATCGATTTCCATATCTAACAGATTCTAAGTTATGACTGACTGAGTATACCATGTCTTCAACTAATCACCACAATAATCATGTGTACTTCAATTAAACAATCTCAAACGTATTATAAGCAAAGTTGGATAGTGGTTAGCAGGGAAATCAAGGACGCGGGTTTCGTCCTATTTGGGACTCGTCAGCTGGATGTACCTGCATCTCAGAGTGCATGTTCATTCTGGGACTCGAATCCAGTCCACTGCTAGCCACTATCCATCTTTGCTGGTAATGCTTGTGAATTAAAGTAATATAGAGACAGTTCGCACAGGATTCACATATGCCAACAAGAGACTGGTCAATTGTAGTTCTTAACATCAATCGGATGATTTAAGTAAACAATATAAAGTGAATTTAAACTAAACCACATTGCACAGGCAAGTGGCTATCAAGTCTCAGTAGATAAGTAGATAACGTAATGGCGTTTGAAGTGAACAGTACGTAAGTTCGAGTCGTAGTGTGAACATCAACTCTGAGATGCAAATACATACAACTGACGAGTCCCGAATGGGGTGAAACGCACGTCCTGGATTCCACTGCTATCCACTATCCATCTTTGCTTATAATACTTGTGAATTAAGGCAATGTCGAGGCATTCCGCACAGAATGCATATATGTTAATAAGAGACTGATCAGTTGAAGTCCTAAATAACATTGGGAAGATTCAAGTAAACAATATCATGTGAATTTAAACGTCACTGTATTGCAAAATCAGGTGACTATCAGGGCTCAGTAGCTAAGTAAATGACATGATGGCATTTGTAACGAACGGTACTGAGTTCGAGTTCCAGAATGAACATCAACTCTAGAATGCAGGTATATTTAGCTGACGAGTCCCAAATAGGGACGATTGGTTTGTATAATTTGTTTATTTATTTTAACATATAGATATTGTTACAAGGAGGCACCAAATACATATACGCCACACAAATCTCACTCGACATATGTGAGGACTATGATACTACCCGGGTGCCCAAACCGAAGCAGGTGGTTTTCTTAGGGGGCCACACCCGGATCGGATCCTTCGACCTGAAGGTCTGATCCACAAGGCAGTGGAGCATCGTAAGGAGATGCAGTCTCATGGAAGCTGGTGAACAACAATTATTTCATTCGCCATTTGTTCCCGCAGGATATTGGGGCCCATGTGCACCATTGGTTTGGAATCCGGTTAAAGCGTCGGACATTCTCTTTTCGTCCTCTTATTTTCGTAAACAACACCCTTGATGCGAGAAGGCATTGAGTAGGACTTCCCTGGTAGAGGCTATATACGTATGGACATGTGAGAGCATTTGGAGAGAGAGAGCGGACTCTCCTCACTCTCGGCCGTACCAGGGCATTTAAGGGCGATTTATATAAATAATCATCTGACATTATTTTCTGATTATTTTGTTTAAATTAATTAATTTTATACAGAATTATAATTCAATTTCAATATTCAATCAAGTCTTATGATGTCAATGAACGCTTGATGTTTTGCTATGTTCATTGAAAGTACGTAATCATTTACAATATTATAGATCGTTGAAAGCATGTAACACAATAGAGTAGGGAAGAAGAAGAAGAAGAAGAAGAAGAAGAAGAAGAAGAAGAAAATAGAAGTGATATATTTCATAGAGAATAATTTATTGAATAAATCTTCTGTTTCATATATATATACGTTCATATATATACACGTTCACTATTCTATTATTTCCTACTTTACATTAGAACAAATGAATACTGATTATTATTATTATTATTACCATTACTATTATTGCGTAATATATATCTTAATGTTTTTCATTAAAAATCTATTTTGTTTTTCTAAAAGAGGAAACAATGAAATCACATTGTTTGCTTCCTTTTGATGTATTTCATCATTCATGACTTCATTTTGTTGCATTTTACGAGATTGTTTCTTTCTTTTTTTTTCAATTTTTATTTCATAGATGAAAATGATTATATATATATATATATATATTGGAGAGTTTTGAGCTACATTTCCCCCCTTTTCTATGTCTCTCTCTGTGTGTGTTCTTTCTCTGTATGAGTGCGTATGTGTGCATGTGCGCTACAGTTTCTCCCTTTTCTATGTCTCTCTGTGTGTGTGTTCTTTCTCTGTATGAGTGCGTATGTATGCATGTGTGCTGCATTTTCTCCCTTTTCTATGTCTCTAAGTGTGTATGTTTCTACTGTGTATGAGTGTGTTTGCATGTGTGTGTGTGTGAGTGAGTAAGTGTTTATCGTTGCGTAGCTCTTTTGTTTTTCTTTCTCCTTTTTCTTTTTTTTTTAACCTTTATCAAATTGTAATTTATTAAATGAGTAAATTATTGTCAAGGTGATTCCATTAAACTAAATTGTCTCTGTATATTGTTAATTATCATATATATATATATTTATTTATTTATTTATTTTTCATTTTAGTGAATAGAAGAAATCTGGTAAATCACTCATTAGTTATATGGTTTTCTGTGTTTGTTTGTTTGTTTTTTCTTCTTCATTGTATGTGTTTTCATTTTCATTTGTTTATTAATGTGTATAAATGAATGATCGGTTCACTTTGTTCTTGATCTCGATCTCATATGATTCAAATTGATCATTGATTGTGTTATTTTTTATGATCTTGTTTTGATTTTATCGACATTCATCTAATCTATCTATATATAATAACTATATATATATCTTTATGTAACATGAATGATCTGTTATACAGTTATTTAATATTACCTTTTGAATTGATTGACATTTAACATAGATAGACAGATAGGATAGATAAAGAGATATAAAGACAGAATAAATGAATAAATATATTTACATACTTACTTACTTACGCCTGTTACTCCTCGTAGAAGAGCATGGGTCGCCCACTACGACTCACCATCCAAACCTGTCCTGGGAAACTCTTTCCAGTTCTTTACAGTTTTTGTTATTCATCCTTTTCGTATCTGCTTCCATTTCTTGACTTGGTGTGTTTTTCGGTCTTCCTCTTTTCCAATTCCCTTCAGGATTCCAAGTTAAGGCTTGCCTTGTGATGCAGTTTGTTGATTTCCGTAATGTATGTCCTATCCACTTTTAACGTCTTTTCCTAATTTCCTCTTCAGCTGGAATCTGGTTTGTTCTGTCCACAAAATGGTGTTGCTGATGGTATTCGGCCAATGGATGTTAAGTATCTTGCGTAGACAACTATTTATAAATAGTTGTACCTTTTTGATGATGATTGTAGTCGTTCTCCAAGTTTCAGCTCCGTTCAGTGGAACTGACTTGACGTTCGTATTGACAATTCTTACTTTGATGTTCGTTGACAGTTTTTTTGAGTTCCATATGTTCTTCAATTGTAGGGATGCGGCTCTTTATTTTTCAATCCTCGCCTTTATGTCTGCATCTGATCCTACGTTTTCATCAATGATGATTTCCAAGTATGTGAAGGATTTGAAATCTTCTAGAGTTTCGCCATCAAGTGTGAATGGGTTGATATTCTCTGTATTGCATTTAAGGATCTTGCTCCGCCTGTACGTCTTCTAGATTTACTACCGGTTCCAAGCCCGGGTAAAGGAGGAGGGTTGGTCATGGGGTTAACGACCCCAACCCGTAGAAAACTAACTCGCTAAAAAACACTAACCATAAAAAATAATTCGAACCACTAAACATACTACTTAATTAAATTATTTTCCGAATATATTTTTTTCTAGAAAAACAAACAAGTATATAAATTGAATTTATATTGATTGGTCAATGTCATATTTGCTTCATATGTTAGTAGTGACCGAATATTAACAATCAAGTCGTAATGTTGTTACTAGTATTCGAATAATGAAAATATACTATCTTGACAACTTTAGAGAGGGGGCTGAGAAACGGAGGGGATTCATCAGCTAATCAAGAAACATTGTTTAATTATAAAACAATGAAATATATAAAGTAATAAAATTACAATGGAATAATGATTTTCATAATGATCAACTAACTATTACATGATGAACTATTCATCTTAGTAGAGGAAAAAAAAGGGTTACGTTTATGTATTATGAGTTGAGATGGCTGACAAAGAAATGTTCCGGTAAGGTAATAAAAGTTAAGCTTCAAAGTTATGAGTTCGAGCGACGAATTATGAACGAATATCTGTGATGATGCTTATCATACTTTTGTTTACAGAATTTACAAACTTAAGATTTAGATTCAGAGTCAGTAGTTAGAGTCATACAGTACTATCTGATTACACTAACGCTCTTAACTATGCATTGGATCATATTAAGTGTGCTAATACATAACTTGCATTAGGAGTAGGTAATATAGCTTAACTGCCGTATTATATTCTCAGGTTGGTTGCATAGTAAACATCTTTCTCAGCTTTAATGATTTTAAAAACCAAATACTGACAATTTTATTTTGCTTCATAATAACATACGGGCCAACTCATACTCCTCTTTTAATTTTGTGCAAAACTCCATGAGGCACTATCCTATTTCTGATTGGCCTAGACAAGGACAACACCATAGTATACTGTTACTGTCCAATTAACTTTATATCATGTCCACTATATTGAAATGCTAGTTGTCTGGATGTAGCTAACGGGAAATTCTGCTCAACCTAAGTTTTGTGTTAATTGGCACTCGTCAGAAAGGTGTACCTGCAATTTGGAGGGGACTAGTTTTTCTTGCAATTTTAAGTGATAGAATTCAGTCCACATTAAAATAGTTCATAAGTATGACTCTGGTCACTTATCAATGATCAGTCAAGTGCAAATATCGTAATCCTCTAGGAACACAATTCCATGGACGAATGAACTGTATAGTTAGAGCTATTGAAGTTCAATTTCTATATGGTTCATCATTTTCGCCAAAATTCATGGGATGCGTTGTTGACGAATGCCAACTAGCACGAAACTCAACTCGAGCAGAATTTGTTGCCAACTGCTTACTTCTAACTACTGAACGTATATAAAAAACCTTATTTCACAAATATTCAGCATATTTCAACTTGAATAGCTAAAAGGTTTTTGAAATGGTTTAATACATACAATCTGCACAACATGTACATATGCCAACAATACTGATCCAAATCCAGTCTTTTTTATTAACGATTGGCTGATTTGAACGGTTGCTAATAATGATATTAATATCATAAAGCATGCTATGGCATTTGAACCGTAAGGTATTTGATTTGAGTTCCGAATTATGAATATCAACACCGGAATGTAATTACATCCAGATGAAAAGTCTCAAGTTGGACGAAAGTTACATCCTGGATCCCATTGTTAGCTACAATCCATTTATTCTATAGATTTAAATAAACGTTTGTTCATTAGTAAATGGTTTCGAGTTCGGTTCTCTAGTTCTATTATAAGGTTTTCATTGGTGAAATTCAGTAATTCGGAGTGACACAATTACTAACAATACCATTAGTTTATCATTACTCTATATCTATAATTGATTGAAGTATAATGTCTGGATTTGTAATGATCAACTGGATAGTATTTTCATCATGCCCTTAATCTTAGAACTATCTTTAGTTCCGTTTGATTGAAAGTACCATACTTCGACGAAATAACTATCCAATGATCTTTAATTTTCAATAATATCACAACTACCATTAATCTATGATAGACAAGTGTCTTTTATGAAAACTATTCATCAATCAAAAAAATGAGAGGAAAATCTGACAAATATCTCATAACCGTCCCATTGATATGAATATGTTATTGGAAGGAATAAGCTATTCGATCTACTGATTCCGCGTTTTTTCTGTTTGCTAATAGTCTTCCGCTGATGTTATCCTCGTGGGAGGAATATTGGGACCTTCGGAAATTTTGTCCCAGATTGTTATTATTATCAATCACGAATTGATCGTTGCTCGACTACCATTGTGGATCCGGAAGTATTGGAGAGCTGTGTGAAGTTATACCCCAGTGGTTAGAAATTAAGCATTCGCGCGTCAGACAAAAGATTGCGGGTACGATTTTCACTCGCTAGGTTATGTATGCTCACTTTTGAGCAGTCTCATATTAAGACAGAACATCCATCCAGTACTTCCGAGTTTTCACTGGTTGTCTAACTTTGATCGCTTAGTGATTACAATGACATTTACTCATCTCTGCAATCTTGTACTGATAATTTATTGATTGAACTGTTAATTAATATAAATATATTGGAATGTATTCACGATTCGACTTTCGGTGTATATGAATCCATGTCTTTTCTTCTCACTTTTATTAAGTCTAGCATCGGAGTTGTTTGTTATGATGACTGAAGAGAAACTCAATTGTCGGAATACTGTTTAATCCGTTCATGGAAGTATCTGTCTACAAAAAGCTAATTCTGTTATTTTATTGAACATTACACAATCACCTAGTTCTGAAATACCAACTATTTAGACATCAGCTGGATGTGACTGTATCCCAAGGTGGATACTAACTCTGTGATGCAGATGCGTCTATCTGAAGAGTCCCAAATTGGGCGAAACTCGCGTCCTGGATTCCACTGTCAGCCGTCAACCATCTTTGTTGATAATTACTGATGTATTAATAAATTATAAAACAGAATAAACTAAGGATTTTCTATCGTAGTGCTAACCACGTGAAAATACAAAATGACTGATCATCATCAGTTTGATGTCAAATATGCAACTTAATCTTCAAAAACCCTCATTAGTAATTATCATAGTGATGTACTCGCTAGAGAGTGGTAATTCCCAGAGTTCCTGTGGAAAGCTTGTGGTCGGTAGAATTCTGAAATATGGGATATGAGGTAGTGAACCACCAACCACAGTAGAGCAATATTGTAGATTAATTAAAATTATAAATGCAATTAATTGTTAACCAATCTATGGGATTTCTATTGCACATACAACTACAAACAAAAGAGAAGACAGTCAGTGTAGCAGCAGCCTAACCAACAGTACGTCTCAACACACACAAAGGAGAAACGAAATTCTCCGACACATTACAACATGCAACAATCGAATCACAATTGACGGAGAAGCTTTGGTGGATGTAAGACATTCACATATCTGGACATCATCATTGATGAAACGGTGGATCTGTTGCAGATGTGAACATGCGGATCGGCAAAGCAAGAGCAACATATATACAATTGAAGAACATCTGGAACCAAAACAACTATCTGTCAACCAACATCAAAATCAGAATTTTCAATACGAATGTCAAGACAGTTCTACTGTGTGTGTGTGCGTGGGGGGAAACTTCGAGAACTACGAAAGCTATCATCCAGTGGATACAAATGTTTATTAACGATTGTCTACGCAAGATAGTTCAGATTTGTTGGCCAGACACTATGAACAACAACCCATGTGAGAGAGAACAAACCAGATTGAAGTGGAGGAAGAAATCAGGAGGGAGCGCTTGAAGTGGATAGGACACACATTGAGGAAAGCACCGAACTGCATCATTAACGCAATCCCTCACATGGAATCCTCAATGCCAAAGAAGAAGAGGAAGACCAAATAACACATTACCACGAGTAATGGAGACAGACATGAGAATGATGATCATGGATCAGAATCGATCGCAATGGGGTCAGTTTATACACCGTTTGTCTTCCTTTAAACTAAGACATGCAAATCACTTCAGGTCTTTCATTCTTCCAATTAATTCTTTCTTCCTGTACTATATATTTATGCAATTTTTCTTTTATATATTATCACCATTAAATGAACTACTTCTATGAATTCGGTGTTCATCTTGTTATACCAATGAGGTATAACAACTTGAACTGATGCATATAGGTACCTGATCCTACATTATAGTTGACTGATTATTTGACTGATCATTCATAACAATGTAGTAAATTTATATTCAATGTTCATTTATTATTTTATAATAAAAGTAATTAATAATATGTATCGGAATAATTTTATGTTAAATATATAAAAAGAAGTAATAATATTGATAATAAAGAAAAAAAGAAAAGAAAAATAGAGAAAAATATAACTGAGATAAGAAAACACAATCTTGTATACATGTCATTGTTATAGGATTACAATGAATATCATGTAAACTGTACATGTAAACTGTATTACAGAAATGAAATATATATAGATATGTATAACCTGATTCAAGATTATTCACTATTGAACATATCAGAAGTGATTTGTGGAATAGGATGGATTAGAATGATCGATTGGTGTCAAATGTTTTCCATCATAACTAGTGTAAATTGGTGAACTATTATTATTATCATGAGTAGTGGTAGTAATAGTAGTAGTATTGATAGTAGTATTCTGATTATATTTTGCTTTGATCATATTTAAATGATGTGAATAAGTTGTATAGAATTGATCATCTGAATAATACATACCAGGTTCTAAATTTGGTAAACAATGAATTATATTTGAATTGATTGAATTATCTGAATTTGAAATATTTTCAAAAGTTTCTTCACCTACTGAATAAAGAATTTAAGTAGGCTAAAGGTTATTTGATAAAATATTCATGATCAATTGTAGTGTGTTAGTATCAGTATAGATTATTAAGTTTTTGATTGAGATCATGAAGCGATTGATGTTAGACCACCGTTGGAAACCTGGAAGTACTAAAGGGCCGTCTCGTCCCAATATCGGACTCCTCAGCAGTGTGAATCCACGATCCGGCCCGTGAGACTCGAACCCATGGCTCTAAGTCTAGCGCTCGTACGCTTAACCTACTGGACCACTGAGCCAGCATTTAATGGTGTTAGCGTTCAACATCCAACAATCCACGAAATTTCACGACCATATCCCCTTTTAATGAGGTAGATAATTGTCTCTACGTGACGCGGATTAGCTCCAGTGGTTAAGGCTTCTCACTGGAACCCCGAGAATTCCCTCACGATGCTAGTCACTAGTGAGCATATGTTAATTATCAGTATAGGGGTTGCGGAAACTATTATGTATTTGATTGAGATTATGAACGGATTGATGTTTGGTTACATTTGGGATACTATTGAAGATAACAAAGCATTGAATAATTATTTTATTCTAGTATAAGGCTTATCAACAGTATCCACGCATAACAACTCATCAGGAGTTAATAAATGGCTTTCAGGTCTCCCGGTATTGAATAGAATATGAACCCAAAATTCAGCACTGATTTAATTACCTCCATGGACTAAACATGATATACATCTGTGTTTACTTATCATCTTAAGTTCAAACAGTAAGTGAGCAATTATAAATGAGATACACTATTGGCTGGTGTCGATTATTCACCTGATCAAGATCTCTGTCTACATATTGATATCTGAATCAAGAGGACAATTATATATGTATCTAGCCAATTCTCGGTCTTCCTACAGTCATAGCTATATGAACAAAAGAATATAAAGCATATAGGATGGAATTAAATCTTGTAGATCGTTGCAAATTTCGTTCATGGACCATAAGAATTCAGTTTTCTTGGTAACCTGAATTCTACTCTTTCAACTTACAGTTCAAATTTGATCATGTCAATACTAATTTACTGAATGATACAACTTTTGTGGAAATCACATCAACCTTAAAGGCTATTTAATTCACTTCATTTACAAAAAATAAATATGTTGTCAGTGTACTTGTCGTCAACTTGTCTGACACTGATCACGATTTGTAGACTTTATATACACGTTTTACTTACTTACTTACTTATTTACACCTGTTACTCCTCGAGGGGGAGCATAGACCGCCCAAATGGATTTGATCCTAATTGTTCATCGATGATACTTCATACACGTTTTACATTAAAATTATTGAGTTTAGATTAGTATAATGAATAATGGATCAATTTTAGACGACCATTGAAAACGTGGGATCATTGGACGACTATGTTGTCCTAGTATGAGACTCCTCATCAGTGCTCATCGACCATCCCATACGTGAGACCTGAACGCAAGACTTTCGGCCTCGCACACGAACATTTAACCTATACTAATATTTAAATGACTCTCAAAATAGGTTTCCTTAATTCAATCAACTTGATTGATATACTGAGACCTACATATAAAACAAAGTAATGATTCGTTTTTAAATTACATCCAACTGTGATATAAACATTGATACTTACTTACGCCTGTTATTCCCACTGGAGCATAGACCACCAGCCAGCATCCTCCAACCCACTCTGTCTTTGGGCCTTTCTTTCTTGTTCTATAAAATTGTTGTTCATTCTTCTCATGTCTGTCTACATTTATCAGGGTAATGTGTTATCTGGTCTTCCTCTCCTTCTTTGGCATTGAGGATTCCATGTGAGGGCTTGCGTTAATGATGCAGTTCGGTGCTTTCCTCAATGTGTGTCCTATCCACTTCAAGCGCTCCCTCCTGATTTCTTCCTCCACTTCAATCTGGTTTGTTCTCTCTCACATTGGGTTGTTGCTCATAGTGTCTGGCCAACAAATCTGAACTATCTTGTGTAGACAATCGTTAATAAACATTTGTATCCACTGGATGATAGCTTTCGTAGTTCTCGAAGTTTCCCCCCACGCACACACACACAGTAGAACTGTCTTGACATTCGTATTGAAAATTCTGATTTTGATGTTGGTTGACAGATAGTTGTTTTGTGTTCCAGATGTTCTTCAATTGTATATATGTTGCTCTTGCTTCGCCGATCCGCATGTTCACATCTGCAACAGATCCACCGTTTTCATCAATGATGATGTCCAGATATGTGAATGTCTTTACATCCACCAAAGCTTCTCCGTCAATTGTGATTCGATTGTTGCATGTTGTAATGTGTCGGAGAATTTCGTTTCTCCTTTGTGTGTGTTGAGACGTACTGTTGGTTAGGCTGCTGCTACACTGACTGTCTTCTCTTGAGTTTGTTGTGTGTGCGTTAGAAGAGTCAGATCATCTGTGAAGTGTAGATAGTTCAGCTTCATCCTAGCTATCCATTGTATCCCATGCTTCTCCTCAGTTGTTGATGTCTTCATAATCTATTGAGAAAACGGTGAGGGTAAGCAGCCTTGTACGACACCGGTCTTTCCTCCGAATGAGTCTGTCAATTGTCCTCCATACATGATTTTTCAGTTTAATTCATCATAAAAATTCCGTATGATATTGACTATCTTGTCAGACACGTCATAGTATTGAAGAAACCTACATAGTATTGGCTTGTTCACGTTATCAAATACTTTCTTATTTTTAATGAAGTTAATGTCAAATGATGATATAAACATTGAAACATTGAATAATATAATTCAAACAAATTTTGTAATAGAAAAAAAAAAAGAATCCATTCAGTAAAATAAAAGTAAATAAAACTTACAATGCATTGTGATAAGTGATTGATTTACATCATTATTAATAACATTATGATTATTATTGTTGCTATGGCTACTGATATCAAAATTGGTACTAAATTTTTTTACTGTATTCATAATTGGTTGAACCGTCTGATAATATTGTGTTAATTTATCAATATTCGATTGTTTCTGTGTAATACAATTATCATTATGATTATGATTAATATTGTTATTATCATAATAATAATAATCTAATACATTAGATACATGAATTGATGGAATAGATTCTAATTCAGATTGTATTATAGGATAATTGAATGAATTCGCTTCAATATTTGTTTGTTTTATCATAGATATAGTTGTATCTATGGTTGTAGGCAATATTTTATCTAATTGTGTTGTTATTATAGATGAGTTGCTAGGTAAATAATAATTGATATTAGATAATTGTTCATTTATTGTATCATCTATTTCATGTATAATTGGTATATTATTAAAATGTGTTATTGATGATACAGTTGATAATGATAATGAAGATCCAAATGAAGAAACGGAAGAGGTGGAAGAAGCGGAAGAGGAGGAGGAGGAGGAGGAGGAGGTGAAGATGTAGTTGTTTCAGTAATTTGTGAATTATAAATATCATCATTATGTGTTGAATATAATTTAGGCATTGAATAGATTGTTGGTAATTTATTATTCTCTTCATGAACTATATATTTATTGAATGAATGTTTCATAGATGATTTTAAATGATTGGATTCAATAGTACCATTTGATTCATTTATTGTATCTATATTATTAACAACAATAAGGCAAAGAAAAAGTTTACTTAGGAAATAAAAGATACTGTAGATGAGATTACGATTCTAACAGTAAAATGAGAATACAATTATGATAAGTGTTGTAACAAGTGGACTGCAGGTTAGATGCGCAGAGTATTTATAGATCGAATCAGTGACACGTAAAAACACGTAAGGACGACCTCAAGTCCCGATTGGTCCCGCTTCCCTGTCTAGCTCAGCCAGTTGAGTCTAGAACGCAAGCCACAGTCTCTGAGTTATGAATCGTGATATTTCAAACATACTCTAATTATATACTAACCAAACAGACCACATCGTACCATAAAATAGAAAACAACATCTGTACAATATTTAACGAGTGAAATAAATATTGGTCAATAGGAAACACTCATTTAGAGTCCAAGGACATCATTAGACTTAACATGATAATGATTGGCACATTATTCCTCAGCATCCATAACAATAAGTCTTGAGGATTGAACGCTATATTCGTCTCCTAAGCTATTCTATAACCCCAAAGCTAGAACTAGACAGCGACCTGAACACGAGAGAGAACACTCAAACTATGCGAGAACTGGTTTACTCTAAGGTTCATTTTAATAAAAAAAATACAGGGTTTTTATAATATTTTAAATGTCCTTGGGTTGCTATAAGATTCTGTAATGCTACTAAACATGGTAGCAGTGTAGCAGCCAGACAATCAGAGCCTCTGCATTTGACATTTCGCTTCCTTGATATTTTTGGCTAAAACTTCAAGTAAACGTTGATTGGATGAAACGCTTCTTAGTGTTTCCTGATCCTTGCATGTCTTTTGAAAGAAATTTGCCGGATCACCCCAACAAATTAGATATTAATTATGCTTGTTACTTCTTGTGGAGAAGTATAGGCTGCCGAATAGCACTCTCCATCCAAACCTGTCCTGAGCAATTCTTTCCAGTTCTTTACAGTTGTTGTTATTCATCCTCTTCATATCTGCTTCTTTGGTCTTCCTCTTCTCCATTTCCTTTCAGAATTCCAAGTTAGGGCTTGCCTCGTGATGCAGTTTGATGATTTCCTCCATGTATGTCCTATTCACTTCCAACGTCTTTTCCTAATTTCCTTTCAGCTGGAGGCTAGTTCATTCCTTTCTCTGCCACAGTAGACTGTTTCTGATGGTATCTAGCCAATAGATGTTGAGTATCTTGTGTAGACAATTATTTATAAATAGGTGTACTTTCTTGGCTTGTCTTCTTTGTCCTTGACCGGTCTGTTTGGTTAACTATATCTCCTTGCTTGTTTTTTTGTTGTATTACATAGTTGTTTCACATTTCCTTCTCTTGCAGCTTTTTCCTCCGTTTTTGCTAATTCCTTCATGTATTTCTGCTTGTCAGCTTTAATGCTTTTCTTCACTTGCAAAGAATAATGCCTATAAATTAAATGATTTTCTTTAACAGCATATGATTTATATGAAAGTGTCAATCACTTCATTTGTCTTAAAAATCTTATTAGACCTGTTTTGTTGATGTTTGACTGGCCCTTAGTAACTTCGGTCACTTATGGCAAGGCCAGACAACTGTCAGACATTTGAGAGGATGAAAAGCGAATGTCTGGTGGGGGCTTGAACCAGGTTGGTGGATATGGAGGGCTCACATAGGGGGGTTGGTTGGAAAACCTCATTCCAAACCAATGGTACACATGGGCTACAGGATCCGGAAAGAACAAATGGCGTATGAACTAGTCGTTGGTCACCGGCTACCATGGGACTACATCTCCTTACGTTGTTCCACTGCCTTGTGGATCAGACTTTTAGGTCAAAGGCTCCAAGAGTGGCCTCTTAAGAAAATCACCTGTTTCGATCTAGTCGTCAGGGAATTATCACATCCTACACACAAATCAAGTAACTTGTGTGGCGCATATCCGTTCAATGCCTCCTTGTATCAATGTTTAAGTGTTTAAATAAATAAATAAATAAAAATCATTACTTACTATTCAATAAAATCTCTGATAATAAACCATCTAATTTAGTAAAACCCATTTGATGTATAATTTGTAATTTATGAATCATTTGATAGGTAACTGATCGAAATTCTGGTATTAATAATAATAATGCACCGAAACGACCTTGTGGTAAATATAATTTACCATTCATTATATTCATTAATTCCATTTGTATTAGATATTGACAACTACGTATTAATAAACGTCCATTTTCCGACAATGATTCACAACCTTTGTTTTTTTTTGTTGATAAAAAGCAAACAAACAAAAAATGTAATGGATACTACTCATAAGATTGTTTATAAGTAGTGTGTAACGGAAGTAAATTGTTTTAACTTTGTGTCATTGGTTCGTTGTTCTTTATCCTCGTAGGCAATTGTTATAACTTTTGACCTGTGTGCCCTGGAATGTTACCACCAATTAGAAAGCAGTGAATTATCGATCGCACCAATGACTAGTGTGAGCATTCTAGAGTACATAACGCTTGTGCTTTTGGCTTTTTGTGGAATATACTTCTCCGTTCGGAATTCGACTTCTCTCTCTAATTAGCGGGGCTAAGACGCAACAGAATAGCTTGTTTGTTGGTCTTTGGTCACAAGTCTTTGTTCTGTTCGCTGACTAAGTGAACTCGTAATCGCTTCAAACGTAGTAATAACGTCGAAGTCGTTATAATTGTCATATAGAGTGAGAAGTTGGTGAAGAAGATTTGCAGCTCAGGTGGATGATCTTGATAGAGTTTTTCTTCTCTGAGTTGGATGGTTTGGTTGTGGAGTTTTCATAGATATGTGAAAAGTTTGGATAGAGGTGATTCCAAAGACATTAGAGAATTCTTAGAAGCATGGCATTCAGGTCAATCAGTAATCAACAAACATATTGAAATCAATCCAATTTATTAATGAATCAGGAAAATTATGAACAAACATAGGACTAAAAACCAAACCAACGGGAGATACAACCAAAACAAAGAAGTAAACAGTGACAGATTCAAGGTCGACAAGAACCAATCAACATCGAGGTGTACAGGATAAGCTGTGAACCACACGTGGAGAAATTCGAACACTTCACTTCGACCTGAAGTTTGTGCTGATAACGTCGTTTAGACGAACGATGAAATCTCCATGACCAAACCATTCAGCTCAGGAGTGAAGAGTTTCAGTGTATTGAAAACATGAAGTTAGTAATACATTTGAAGACCAGACAAGAGGGTAGTTCAGATGGTAGAATACATCGAAAGATGAAAATGGATAATTGAAGGCTATATATGTTTATTATGTAAATACTTTATAACTTCATAAAGTAAACAAACATTTCTCCTGCCTATTGTCTTATTTTAGAAAAGTTTACTAATTATATTCATATAAGTGTAGTGCAGTGCTACTGATATCGACAGGTATAAGTAGTATATATCACCAATAGAAAGTGAAATGCCTGGCGTCAGAATGTTAAGAAGATCTAAGAGAAGAGAACAAGAACAAAGAGTGATTGCTGTGGAAACGATGAAATAACAAATTGTAAGACAATTGATTATTATTTTGTATGGTTCTCAGATTTTACCAAGATATTCTGTAATGTTATTTTAAAACATTTTGATTGACTCAACTGGTTTTCCCGTTTATCACAGCATTAGTGGTAGTATAAACAGTGGATTATGTTATACCCTTATGCTCTGCGAATATATATCACGTAATATGATCTTCAATTAGAGCACCAACTTATTGAACAGACTAATGACGCATAAACCAGTACGAGCAATTTAGTGTCAAGTCTGTGTCCACCAAGATAGTAGCTTCTCGCCTAACTCAAACGGTTCAGTCCAGAAGATTAACATTAGCGTCTGCTATGTGAGAGACTATTACTGATAAATTGGAAGTAACTTAAAAATAGTAAATCATATAATAATAGCCAATAGATCAAATAGAAGCTTATAATAAAAGGAATATGAATATACATGTATTAATAGTCCATAAATAGATCCTAGCAGTTATCATTCATTTATTCTTCGTCGGATATAATAGAAATGAATGAGTGATTGATCAAACTTGATAGATTGTAAGAGGAGTAGTGAAGCACACTATTAGTCTGTGTTTATTAATTAATGTACTTAAATATCTTAGTTCTATAACAGAATAATCGATAACAAATTAACGCGCTTCTGATGAGTCTCATAATAGAATGAAATGGCCATTCAGTGCTTTTAGGTTTCTCATGGTGGTCTAGCTTCAATTGACTTATGATCATATCCACAAAACCCCTTCTGATACAAATTAGCCTAGAATTGATTTTTATTGAATAAGAAACTGAATGATACAAGTGTACATCCTATACAGACAATCTATTTCCTTAGGATTCCAGGTATCCCTTCCTGACAAGTGCGCATTTGTACAGAACAAAAGTCTATCTAAATGTATAAGTTAAATTCTTTTGTAAACAAAATTTTCATTATTGTCTAATGTTCGAATCTCGCGAACGGAATCGTGGATGCGCACTACTAAGAAGTCCCATATTGAGAAGAAACAGCCATCCAGTGCTTCCAGGTTTTCCATGATAGTCTAACTTCAGTTGACTCATGAATTCAACTATAGAATTATTAAAATATCTACAAAACCCCTTCCGATATTAATCAACATATGCTCACTAGTAACGTGGTTTCAAGAGGTATATCCTGGAGTTCTAATGAGAAGCAATGACCAGATGAGTTCAGTCGGGTCTGTTGTGAGATAGTAACTCACTGAAGACAATGGTAGTTATGTCATCCAATTTCATGAATTAGTTGAAGTTAGATATTAACACCACTGGATACCAGCCTGTTCAGTGGTCTAGAGGTTAGGCGTTCGCATGCAAGACCAATAAGTCCTAAGTTCGAATCTCATGAAATGGGACCATGGATGTACACTGTCAAGGAGAAGTCTCACAATAGGACGAAACAACCATCTAGTACTTCCAAGTTTCCCATATTCGTCTAGCTTCAATTGACTCATGATCTTTGAACATACAAAATAAAACATAATAATAATAATAATAATAAAACCAATCTATTCAACACTATTCTTACATACTTGGATCAAAAAACATTATTGCTCTAAAACAAACAATTTCAATTTCATCTAAGCATAAATTTTGTATTGGTTGATAGATTTCATTAATAATCATATTAGCTAAATCAGCTATTTCTGGTAATGGATTTTGTCTTGATATAATACGATTATTACCTAATAAAATAAATTGTGGTTCATAATTTATCGATTGTAAATAAGTAGTATCTATTGTATTATCAATGATTTGATTCGTTTGTATTGACTGATCTCCATTATTATTACTATTAGTATTATTAGTCGTTGGTGTATTAGTAGTAGTAGTAGTTGTTGTTGTTGTTGTAACAGTAGTATTCCATGAATTCGTTAATGTAGTTGTCGTCGTCGTCGTCGTCGTAGCAGTAGTAGTAGTAGTAACCATAGCAACAACATTTGTATCCAAGGTAATAGTTATATCATCTATAGTATCATTGATAGATGTATTGTCATTTGATTAATTTTTTGTTCAAAATATTTTGATTTTTCTATTTTATATTCATTTGATTTATTCAATGTTGGTCCTAATGTAATTGATCGCCATATAGCACCAAGAATAAGCATTTCACCAGCATGTGCTTGTAATAATGCAATCTATCAATGAAATTTTAAAAAAAAAGAATTATTCATTAGAATTTATGGATAAACCAATCAGGTGTATAAGATAACAGGTTTCGGGATTTTTTGGCACCAACTTCACTCATTCATTGGATGAATAGAGTTTCAGGAGTCTAGAACCTTTAAACGGTATGCACTCAACCAAACAAATTCATTAAAACTACACATAAACAATGTAGAAAGAAATCTTTCACAAAGAGAATCTATAGTCGATCACCTACCAATGGGAATAAAATCACAAATAGAGTTTTGGCATGATAACTGATATCAGTTCGTGATGAAACATCCTAAATCTAATTTTTAACCTTAGTCATTGTTATAACTTATAGCCTGTATACCCTGTGAATGTATAACGTGATGAGAGAGAGTGAGAGAGAGCGGTGACTTATCGATCGGATCAGTGACGCGTAAACTTGTATGAGCAGCCTAGAGTCCTTATTGGTCCCGCTTCCTGTCTAGCTTAGCCAGTTCAGTTCAAAACACCAATTCGAGCCCCTGCGATATGAATCACTGTATTTCAAACATACTGAGTTTATATACTAATTAAACAGACCACAACGTACCATTAAATAGAAAATAACATTTGTACAAGATTTGATCAAATGTGGCTGTGAAGAAGGGGGGGGCAATGACTAATAGACAGGGCATAATACTGGTTCATAGGTGAAAATAAAGTTTATAATAAGAGGAATATGAATATAAAGAGTTAAGTTATTTAACAATGATACGATAAAAATATACGTATAGTATTGGTCCATAAATGGTTACCAAAGTTACCATTCATTATGTTTATCGAAACATAACAGTCATCAACTGTAAATCATCATTCCATTTCTTCACACCGTTTTATAACCCTCATTTGGTCCTGGTTATTAGGTAGATGCTTTCAAGGTCGCTCTACCGTCGTTCAAAGGTCGTCCATAAATTATAGTCTCATCTAATTTATCATAGAATATTTAATAATGTTCTATTTTCATTGATTAATCATTATATATTAAAACCATGTGAAGTTCAACGAAAGGATCTCTTTTCGAATGATGTTGGGAGGGATCGCGGATGTACACTGCTGTGAAGTTTCATATTAGGACGAAATAGCCGTTTCGTGCTTCCAGGATTTCCATGGTGATCTAGCTTTCATCGACTCATCAATTCAACTATTTATTTACTAAAATCTCAAGAAACTCCCCTTCTGATAATGAATTTATTATCAAGGTGTACAATCGTATATATCTGAAATTTTTTTCGCTAAAGTACTAGTGCCGTAAGGAAATGGGAATAAGGAATAACCAAGATGATGCAGTAATAGGTAGATTATAATACTAGATTACGTAATACGAATATTAACAATAGACTTAATAAGTTAGTAACGAATTATAACATGAATGTACTAAGACGACTAAAATGGCTCAGTGGTCGAGAGGTTAGGTGCTCGTGTACGAGACTGATAGATCCTGGGTTAGAATCTCACAAAGCGGGATCGTGGATGCTTACTGCCGATGGGTCCCACAGCAGGACGAAACAGCCGTCTAGTGCTTTCAGATTTTTCATCATGGTCTAGCTTCAGTCGACTCATGATCTCAACCGTTAAAATTACTATAATATCCACAAAACCGCTTCTGATATTAAAATGTTTTTCTTACTATAACTAAAGGTCATAGAGGTGTAAAAAAACAAATAAAGTGATATGATGAGCATTTATGAATAAAATAATGAGAATGTAAGACATAAGTAAAGGGAGAAATGCAGTAATAATAATAACAATTAAGGCCAACGTAACGATAACGATAGGACGTATATCTTTTGTATACATAGTTCTGGCTTGAGCTCATGGATGGTAAGAGCTTCGGCTACTTTTTTTAGGAGTTGGATACGAAAAAATCTAGGTAGATTAACATTGAAATCCTGAATAGTCAATTTCTTGTCACTCCACCAAGTTGCAATAATTTAATCAAATCGTTCTCTGGTAATACAAATATACGCATCGGTTATTCTTAATCAGTTCAAATGTTAATCCTATGAAGTTATTTAGTAGTTGAATCCATGAGTCTATCGAAGCTGGATCACCATGGAAAATCTTGAAGTATTAGACGGCCGTTCCATCCTAGTATCGGACTCCTCACTGATGAGCATCTATGATTCCTCACACAGGACTCGAACCCACAGCCTTCTGTCTCGCGCTCAAACGCTTAAGCTCTATACCACTGAGTCAGCCGACATCCAACGGTGTTAATGTATAAGTTCAACCGACCTATGAAATTGCGCAACCGTCCACCATTGTCTTCACTAGAATAAAGTTCCTCTACAAAAGACACGGCCGAACTCCACTGGTCACTGCTTCTCAGTAGAACTCCAGAAAATACCCCTTGAAGCAAGTCACCAGTGTGCAAATGATTATTATGAGAAAGGGGTATTATGGAGATTGTAGTAATTTAACAATTGAATTCATCGGTCGATTAGAGCTAAACCACGATGAAAAACATGGTCCAGGTTTCGAACCCGGCAAGGCAGGATCGTGTATGCGCATTGCTGACGAGTCCCATAATAAGATGAAACGCCCATCCAGTACTTCCAGGTTTTCCATGATGATCTAGCACTGGTCGGCTCATCGATTCAGCTATTATATTCTTAATCAAATCAAATATTACTCTTATAAAGTTTTTTTGTAATAGTTTGGTCTACATGTGGAAGATGTAAAAACCTTTACATAACTGGACATCATCATTGATGAACACAGATGACCTGATGCAGATGTGAAGGCGCGGATCGGCAAAGCAAGAGCAATATATCTACAACTGAAGAACATCTGGAACTCAAAACAATTATCTGTCAACCAACACCAAACTCAGAATTTTTAATACAAATGTCAAGACAGTCCTACTGTGTGTGGGGCGGAAACTACGAGAACTACGAAATCTATCATCCAGAAGATACAGGTGTTTATTAAAAGTTGTCCACTCAAGATACTTCTGATCCGTTGGCCAGACACTATGAGCAACAACCTATTGTGGGTGAGAACAAACCAGATTGCAGCAGAGGAAGAAATCAGGAAGGAGCGCTGGAAGTGGATAGGACACACATTGAGGAAAGCACCGAACTGCATCATTAACGCAAGCCCTCACATGGAATCCTCAATGCCAAAGAAGAAGAGGAAGACCAAAGAACACCTTACCACGAGTATTGGAGACAGACATGAGAAGAATGAACAAGAATTGGATGAAACTAGAAAGGAAGGCCCAGTACAGAGTGGGTTGAAGAATGCTGGTCGATGGCCTTTGCTCCTCCATTAGGAGTAACAGGCGTAAGTAAGTAAGTAAGTAAATACATTTTGATTTGTACTCATACTTACTTGATCATTAATTGTTAATGATGTGAATACGGATAGATTTTTAGCCCATTCAATTAAAAATATTAATTGAGTACGTATTGATTCACAAATATCATTAATATTAGCTAAATTATTTTCATTTAATTCTTTATAATTTGATTGTTCATTATATAAATCTGATGATTTTTTAGTGATATTAATATAATTTTGATGAATTGCCTATCAATATAAAAAATAAAAATAAAAAATCTATTGAGAAATGATTATGGATTGATTCATATAATTGAATAGTTAGATTATCATGGTGAAACCTGGAAGTACTGTACGACTGTTTCGTCCTACTGTGGAACTCTTCAGCAGTGTGCATTCACGATTAAGTGTTCACACATGAAACTGATTAGTCCTGGATTCGTGTTATGCCTGTGGGATTGTGGATGTACATTGTTGAGAAGTCCCATAGTAAGACAAAACGGCCATCTAGTGCCTTCAAGGTTTCCCTGATGATCTAGCTTTATTTATTTTTTTATTTTATTTTATTTTAACACATATATATTTGTACAAGGAGGCACCAAATACATATACGCCACACAAATCTCATTTGATATGTGTGAGGGTTGTGATACTGCTCGGGTGCCCAAAACGAAGCAGGTGGTTTTCTTAAGGGGCAACACCTGGAGCCTTCGACTGGAAGGTCTGATACACAAGGCAGTGGAGCATCGTGAGGAGATACAGTTTCTTGGTAGCCAGTGACCAAAGATTGGTTCATACGCCATCTGTTCCTTCAGAATTTTGGAGTCCATGTGCACCATTGGTTTGGAATCAGGGTTTTCCAACTCCCCTAGGTGAACTCTCAATATCCACCAACCTGGTTCAAGCCCCCACCAGACATTCGCTTTTCATCCTCTCATTTTGTGAACAACATCCCCGCCACGAGAAGGCAGTGAGTAGGACTTCCCTGGTAGAGACTATGTACGCGTGGCAATGTGAGAGTATTTGGAGAGAGAGAGCGGACTCTCCCCACTCTCGGCCGTACCAAGGCTTTAATTGACTCATGATCTCAATTATTAAAATTACCATAATATCCACAAAATCCCTACTGCTAGTAATTTAGTAGTTGAATTCATGAGACAATTGAAGCTGCTAGAAGATCATGGAAAACCTGGAAGCACTGGACGACCTATTTTTCCTAGTATGGGACTCCTCAACAGTGCGCATCTACAATCTCGCAATCGGGACTCGAACCCAGGACCTATCGATCTCGTTTGTGAACACTTAACCGTGGATGCGCATTGTTGAGGATGAAATGGTAGTTCAGTGCTTCCAGGTTTCCCATAGTGGTCTGGCTTTAATTGATTCATAAATTCAACTATTAGGATGACTACAATCTCTAGAAAACCATCATTCGTATAATTGAATAAGCTAATTCATTTTAAATTTTTAAATTCTATTTTTCAGTAGTTATCAGTTTCATCAATGACATGTGTTTCGTCTCATTTAGGACTCTTCAACTGAATATACTTACATCTAAATAGTGGGCATTCACAATTGAATTTCAATTCGGTATGACCAAATAATAATTCACTTAGGATGTATAATCATAAGTAACGTGTAACCCTCAATTTTTATGACCACTTTGCATAGAAGATTATCTATGAAAAAATATGACTGTAAACCAGATTAGTCAGCATTAATTAGAGCCAATTATGATTGATATCAGAAGGGGTTTTGTGGATCTTATAGTGATTTTACTAGTTGAGATCATGACTCAATTGAAGCTAGACCACCATGGGAAACTTGGAACCACAAGACGGTCGTTTCGCCCTATTGTGGGACTCTTTAACAGTGCGCACACACGATCCCACCTCGTGAGATTCGAACACAGGACCTATCAGTTTCACGCACGAATGCCTAACCTCTAGATCACTGAGTTGGCCGGCATCTATCGGTGTTAATATCTAACTTCAAGTAATCCACGAAACTAAGCCACCGTCCACCATTGTCTTCAGTGAGTTGCCATCTCACAACAGACCGGACAGGACTCCACTGGTCACTGCTTTCCACTAGAATCGCAGGAAATACTTCTTGAAGCCAATCATTAGTGATCATATACTATGATTGAGACAACCGAACAGCTTGTTAGACTTTGTATGGTACATCTGTCATTCTAACGAACTGAATTTTCTTTTTCTCTTCCAAATAAGATTGAATCGAAGTTAAAATTGCAATCCATAACAAAAGTATGGATAACAAACTCTGAAGGTTCTTTTGAAACAATCGAGATATTCTTGTTGCTATGTACGTAAATTTTGGTAACAAATATATAAGACTATTGAGATCAGATAACACTCTAATTTAGACAACCATTGAAGATCTGAAAGCAATGGATAGTCATCTCACATCAATACATAACATCTCAACAGTATTATTCTACAACCCTGAAATCGGAAATGAAACTCAGGATCTTTTGTCATCCACTCAAACATTTAACCTCTAAACCTCTAAACTGAGCTGAAATCCATTGATTTACATGTCTAATTTCAATCAATCCATAGCATTTTTCGAACATTCTTTTTTTCTCTGTAGGTAACTTTTTTCCCACTTGACACAACTAAACTCTACCGATTATGACTTTTTATTAAAATTTACAGATGAGCGCTACTAAGAAGTTTCAGATAAGAATGAAACGACTGTCCAGTACTTCCAGATTTTCTTATTAGTCATCTAACTTGAATCAGTTTGTAATCTCGATAAGAACCAACAATCTTCACAACCCACTCGGTGAGGCCTTGTGCTATGGGCATAACCCTATATTAGTAAAAATATAATAAACATAAAACATAAATTCACTTGGTATTGTTTAGCTTGTATCTTCCCACTGAGTGTTTTTTTTTTAAGACTGCAATTGATCAGTCTGTTATTGGCATATGTGCATGCTGTGCGTATGCCTCGATATTGTAATGAGGAGATACAAGCCAAACAATACCAAGTGCATTTAAATTCACCCCATTGCATAATCAAGTGGTTATCAGGACTCAGTAGCTGAGTGGATAACGCGATGGCGTTTGAAACGAATGGTACTGGGTTCGAGTCACAGAGTGAACGTCAACTCAGATGCAGGTACATCCAGCTGACGAGTCCCAAATAGGACGAAGCGCCCGTCCTGGATTCCACTGCTAGCCACTATCCAACATAAATTCTCATACTTTCCTACTGATTATTACTGTCATAAATATGATACATGGCAACAAAGAAACTTCAAAAACACACACACATTTCATACATCGAAACACAATGTAAACACTATCACAATAGGACGTACACAATTAGCTATTGCTTCAGCTTGTAATAATTTTTGTAAATCTATACTTGAATGAATTGATGAATTAGGATCATAAGTTGTAGGACGATTACTTATTTTATCACGTTCTTTTGTACAGCTAAAAAGAAATTTAAAAAGATTAAATAAGTGAATAATCAATGAAATATAGATCAAATAGTTGAATTCAGAAAGTGATCCAAGCTAGATCCCCGACCGTTGTTGCTACCGTGACGTGGTGGTCGGGCTTGACTATCATGATGAAGCAGTCAAGCTATACTGGCTGCAACAATCGTTTCTCAAGATCCTACCATGTCAGAAAGGTCGGTTGAAGAGCGGTAAGACTAAAAACAACAAACCTAAGGTCCGAAGGCGAAGTCGTACTGATGACTGTACAGAGGTGTGACGACAGTAAGGTGTCTCCTTCAGACAACCAGCATGACAGCGATGCTGCCTTCTCACAAGGAGGGGTGGGGTTAGAAAAGGTCGACCCTATAGATGAACACCTCCCCTTATCCCACGAATATCCGTCTCAGGCGGTGAGGTTTTACCATGTTAGGAGCTAACACGGAAATTAATCATAAAAGGTCGTGTGTGACCGATCACAGGCAGTTGTCCCTTGAGCACTGCAGTCACGCTCTCAGGTGACTAAGACCACCTCTAATTCTACTTCCTTTTCAATACCTCCAGAAGAACCCTTCCACGGTGTGGGCAACAGGAAAGTTATAACCCTCCTCATACCTCTAACAGCACTCAAGCCCACTGTATATCAAGCTAGATCACCATGGAAAACCTGGCAGTACTGAACGGCCGTATAGAACTTCGCAACAGTACGCATCCACGACCGTGCACGCGAAATTCAGACTCAGGATCTATAGATGTCGCGCGCTAACGCTTAACTTCTAAACCACTGAGTGCGAGACTAAAGATCCCGTGTTTGAATTCATCTAGCGGGATCTTGAGTGTGCACTACTGAGTAGTTCCATACTGGGATGAAACGACCGTCCAGTGCTTCCAGGTTTTTCATGGTGACCTAGTGTCAATTAATTCATGAATTCAACTATTTAATTACTAAGATTTCCATGAAACCCTCTTCTGATAAACATAAATAAATTAATTGAATTATTATACTTGGTTGATTCAGTCAGTTTTCTGTTTTAATTATGCACCTGTAGGATTAAATGATTTTCTATATAATGGACTGATCTTAGCTAGATAATCATTAATAATCTGACGGCTGTAGTTGGATGTTTTACCCCATTATCGGACTCCTCATCAGTATGTATCTACGACTCTGAATCTCCAAATATAACCCAGGATCTTTTATCTTGTACGCAAATCCCTGACCACTAAACTACTGGGCCGGCGTTCAACTGAAACTGTAGTGAATGAGAACACAAGTGGAGACGCAAAATTACACAACATCTTAGTAAAATCTGAGAACAATACACTAAATACTTCATTTGAAAAATGTCATTCAATTGTCTCAATCTTCATTGTTCCTTCATTTTCACAACAATTATTCGTTGTTCTCGTTCTCTTCTCTTTGATATTCTTAACTTTCTGCTGCTAAGCATGTCACTTTCTATTGACGATATATACTACTTATATCTGTCAACATCAATAGCACACATCACACTTGGAAGTCAGTGTCTAAACGTATTCAAGTAAAAAGGTATCATCATCAAATATTTCAAGGTTATTTATGGTTTATAATTTGAGTAAATACAAAAACTGAATCCGATTAATCATCATATCAATAGTTTACAAAGTTAGAACACACTGATTCACATCAAGGAGTGCATTCATACTGATTTGATGGCGAGACTATGATTTATGTACGAACCAATCAGATTTAAGATAACAGGTCTTGGATTTTGATGTGAAATTCACTCATCCATTCGTCCAAATAGCATCTTGGCATTTAAGCTGATATCAATTCGTGATGAAAACCCTAAATCTAAATTCTCACCCTTAACATCAGTTGTAAGTCATTACCTATATTCCTCAAACTGCTTTATAATCTTCATTTAGCCCTATTAAGTAGGTAGACCCTCTCGAGGTCACTTTGACGTCGCTCGAAGATCGTCTATATATTATAGTTTCACTGAGATTGAAGTATTTCATCGAACCAGTCCATTATGTCTAATCATTTGAATGGATTCAATGAATTTGTACACTAGCTTATTTCATATCTGATGAACAAGTGATATCTTAATGGTTGAAGACACTACGGTTTTAATTCATAGATTGCAGGTTCGAATCCTATCATACCTACTTTGCTTTGGACAACCATGTAGTATTATTTATTCTTATACAAACTACAAAGAACCGGGACTGAATACCTAGATAGATATTTTCGATGGTCACATTCGTAAGGACATCATTTAAAATGTAAGAAGCAAAATTCACCGTCATTTTTACATGTAGACTATTCGTAATTTCCATTTGGAATCCTCAAAACCAAAGGAAAAAAGGAAGATCAAAAACACATTACTCTGAGAAATGGAGACAGACATGAGAAGAATGAACAACAATTGAATAGAACTAGAAGGAAAGCCCAGGACAGAATGGGTTGAAGTATGCTGATGAGCGGCGTTTGCTCGTCCATCAGGAGTAAGTAAGTATTCATAATTACAATAGAAAAATACAATTTTATTTCTTACCAGATTCTTTCATACCAACACGAAAACATTTACGAAAACGACAAAATCTACATTGATTACGTTTATCTTTTGTAACAATACAATTTTTCTTATGACGACATGTATATGAATGTTTACGACGTACAGAACGTCGAAAAAATCCTTTACATCCATCACATGAATAAGCACCATAATGTTTACCTATACATGATGAAAATTAGGAAGAAAAAGAAAACGAAGACAGAACAAAGTTAATTCCATGGAACGAGGTAAAAAAAAGTTCTACTTGAATGGGTCAAAAATAAATCAATCTACAATTGGCTGATCACTGAGTAACGATCAATGTCATATGTGTCAAGTCCTTCTTAGTGCAGATCGAATGCTATTGAACAAGTCGCAATGTGGCCACTAGTCTAGATGATTCAACATTGCTTGCACTATGTTGAGATAAGATAGTGGTTGGAGGTAATCAATAGGAAACCCTGTAATCTTGAGGGAACTAATGCTCCTTGATTACAGGTACACGTTGCTGACGAGTGCCAAGTAGCACGAAACCCGAGTCCAGAGTTTCTTGTTGACTACCTCTAACCACCATTTTATAAATGAATCTAGTTTGATTTATTTAAAAACATTCCATTTTCGTAAAGTTTCAACTCCTCGTGGAGCCCCTCTGGAGCTACTGCCGATCTCAAGCTTGGATAAAGGAGGAGGGTTAGGCATGAAGTTAGCAACCGCAACCCGTAGAAAATTTATTCACTAAAAAAACGCTAATCATAAAAATTATTCCGTAAGGTCTTTCCCCTTCTTCAATCTTACTTTGGATGTTAGATTATGTACAAAAATAAAACAGGGTAATAATAAGATGTTCTGGCAATGATACAATGATTTTAATGGTTTCGATTCGTTAATCAATCAACTCGATAATTGTTAGAATATAAATCTCAAATGTGTTTGAAATCAGAAGGTAATGGATAAGCAGCAACTACAGTTTATTAACAGATAGCGCAGATCACAAAGTTATAAGCACATCAAGAGAATTTGAAGCGGAGAGACGAGTACATAAACAAATTTGTAGTCGAATCGCATAAAGGCACAGGAAGGCAAAGTAAAAGCTAATAGTAGGATTCGCATACATCAGGAGGAGGAGGAGGATGAATAATCGATTAATATTTTAGCTAGAGTCTGTCATGTATTCTAGTGATCATAACAGTTCAAAGAAATAGACGAATTGTTACTATTCAATTAATATTGTCTATTAATTAAGTTAATAAAAAGGTTTAATCAAAATTGATTGTATGATAGTTGCTATGTGAATAATAACCAATTTGGTAATTATCTAATCAGGATAAGATTCACTAAACTTGAAGATGTTCAACACAATCTTGTATAAGATGAGGAGAGCATCTTGGCTAACAACTTAAAACTTGCACTGAACAACAGATATGTAACAGCTAATTACTAGTAACTTATCAGGTGATATCATGAGTTTATGATTATTTATATATAAATGGATGTCCTGAAGATATTATCCTGTCTTCTATATACATCGAAAATCATCACAGGGTTGCAAGTACTTCGTTATAACCACTTCATAACAGAACCAATCAAGTGTTATAGATTTCACTGCCAGTCACATATCAAGTATAACTCCGCCTGGAGTCCCTCCATGGGCTACTACCGGTCCCAAGCCCGGACAAAGGAGGAGGGTTGGGCATGGGGTTAGCGACCCCATCCCGTAGTAAACCAAATCGCTAAAAAAATGCTAACCATAAATACATATCAAGTATACTTAACCTTCTTTAATAGCAGTATATAGAGACAATCTACCAAGAAATCATATATGACACGGAGACTCTTTCAGTTGGAGTCCTGAATATAGAACTCTGAAAATACAAACCTTTGCTAACTGGTAGTTTTACTAAAAAAAATTGATCAATTTTAAGTTGACAGTTTTTATAAACTCTCGTTATTATAATTTAAACTGCAGTGCCATCATTATTTAAGTGCGTACATAACAGCAGGAATAATTATTCAACACCAGAAGAGGTTTTGTAGAGATTGTAGTAATTTCAATCGTTGACATCATAAGCCAATTGAAGTTAGACCACTATGGAAAGACTGAAAGCAATGGACGACCATTTCGCTCTATTGTAGGACACCTCAGCAGTGTACATCTACGGTCCCGCCTTGCGAGATTGAAACCCAGTGCTTCCAGGTTTTCCATGGTGGTCTAGCTTCAATCGACTCATGATCTCAACTATTGAAATTATTCAATACATTTGATAATCTTGTAAGCGGTTCCCATGGAAAATGTGGTAATACATTTTATACTACTTGCGAGTATTCAAATGTATAATTAGAAACATTACTAAGAAAAAAGTTTCATGGACAAAAGGAAGTATTTCCTGGAGTTCTGGTGAGAAACAGTGACCAGAGGAGTTCAACCGGGTCTATTGTGAGATAGTAACTCACTGAAGACAGTGGTGGACGGTGGCAAAATTTCGTGGTTCGGTTGAAGTTATACATTAACACTCGTGGATGCCGGCTCAGTGGTCCACATGTTAAGCGTTCGTGGGCACGAGACCAGTAGGTCCTGGATCCGAATCTCTTGGGGTGGGATTGTGTATGCGCACTCCTGAGAAGTCCGACACTAGGATGAGATGGATGTCCAGCGCTTTCATCCTTTCCATGACGGTCTGGTATCAAATGACTCGTGATCTCAACTATCGAGAAAGATAATCATTGTCCCCATGAATTTTTAATTTTTACCGGAACTATTATGTAATCTTTTTAAACTAAGATGAATAGTGGCTAGCAGTGGAATCCAGGACGCATGTTTCGTCTTATTTTTAACTCGTCAGCTGGATGTACCTGCATCTGAGAGTTGATGTTCACTCCGGGACTCTAAATATATCTGTTAAATACTGCTATTATCAAACTTTTTCCTGATAGTAATAATCATGTCTTATATGGAATTCAGTCAACCTCGATCGAATATATATCTATATATTTGCAAATCTATCACCATTCATACTCCTTTCTCGCAGTCGATATCGTCCCATGAAATCTTCATGCCAGGTGTTGTCCATCCCAACTTTGGCGTTTAGGTTTCCCATCAGGATGGTAAGATCGTTTCTTGGGACTTTGGCTATGATGGATTCCAGCCTCTCGTAAAACTAATCTTTATCATCGTCATTGCTATTACTGGTGGGTAAAGAGCATTGGATAATATTCATTATATTTTCCTCCTTTGTTTTGAAGGGTGCTTTGATGATCCTGGATCCATGAGATTCCCATTCTACACGTGCGTTTTGTACTTCTTTGCACAGCATCAAAGCAATTCCCTGAGTACATGGAGCATTTTTCTCTTCATTATCAGAGTACAGCAGTACCTCCCCCGAATCCATCCTTTTCTATCCAGCTTAGGTGCAATAGGTTTCACTGATTCCGAACACTATCAAATTGTATTTCCTCATTTCCGTTGCTATTTGATTGGTTCTCTTGGTCTCTCACATTATCCGAACATTCCATCTACCTATAATAATTGTTCCTGTGGTTGTTAGAAGACACATCGTCCTCATGATTTCCAAAGAATCTCGGCTTTCATCATAAGGCGTCATAATTCTTCCTTGAACACGAAGGACAAAATTGAAATGATTAGATTTGTTTCATAGGGAATAACAGACGTTAGTAAGTAGGTAAGTAAGTAAGTAAGTAAGTAAGTAAGTAAGTAAGTAAGTAAGTAAGTAAGTAAGTAAGTAAGTAAGTAAGTAAGTAAGTAAGTAAGTAAGTAAGTAAGTAAGTAAGTAAGTAAGTAAGTAAGTAAGTAAGTAAGTAAGTAAGTAAGTAAGTAAGTAAGTAAGTAAGTAAGTAAGTAAGTAAGTAAGTAAGTAAGTAAGTAAGTAAGTAAGTAAGTAAGTAAGTAAGTAAGTAAGTAAGTAAGTAAGTAAGTAAGTAAGTAAGTAAGTAAGTAAGTAAGTAAGTAAGTAAGTAAGTAAGTAAGTAAGTAAGTAAGTAAGTAAGTAAGTAAGTAAGTAAGTAAGTAAGTAAGTAAGTAAGTAAGTAAGTAAGTAAGTAAGTAAGTAAGTAAGTAAGTAAGTAAGTAAGTAAGTAAGTAAGTAAGTAAGTAAGTAAGTAAGTAAGTAAGTAAGTAAGTAAGTAAGTAAGTAAGTAAGTAAGTAAGTAAGTAAGTAAGTAAGTAAGTAAGTAAGTAAGTAAGTAAGTAAGTAAGTAAGTAAGTAAGTAAGTAAGTAAGTAAGTAAGTAAGTAAGTAAGTAAGTAAGTAAGTAAGTAAGTAAGTAAGTAAGTAAGTAAGTAAGTAAGTAAGTAAGTAAGTAAGTAAGTAAGTAAGTAAGTAAGTAAGTAAGTAAGTAAGTAAGTAAGTAAGTAAGTAAGTAAGTAAGTAAGTAAGTAAGTAAGTAAGTAAGTAAGTAAACTAAAAATATCGACATAAATATCACACATCTCAAGTACACTTAAATTTATCAATGAGATATATTTTTTTTCATGTTTACATTACATCAAATCTAACTTCTTATCATTAAAATCACTTACATAGAAACATAGAAACAATCATTTAACATTGGTACCTAATCAACCATAACAACAACAACAACAAATTCATTACAAAGAAAACACTTGTATAGTAGGCTTAATGAAACACACTAATGTATATTTAGCATTTGTGGTTGATAAGTTTACACATTCACATTCACACACATACACACGCACATTCACATTCACATTCACATGCACACATGCATATACATACAATATTGATATATCACACAAGTAAGTTATTTTAATTTATATCCATGTAAAACTTATTGTATCCATCATAGAAACATTTTTTGATTTATTTCAGTGTAATGAAAAGTAGTATTTCCTTACCATCGAAAAAAAAAAGAAAAAAACAACCCACACATACACACAATTAGTATCGAACTGATTGTGACGTTTTTTATTTTTCTTGATTGAGATCATGAATCGAGTGATATTAGACCACCATGGAAAACAATAGTCTTGAGTGGTGTTGGTGTTTGACAAAATCTCAGCATGGATTTGAAAAGTTTGTTTGACTTTTCACATGTTATGTCACCTATGGTGGAAGCGAGATATCCGTCTATCAATTGAGGGACCAGTATACTGCGCGGCAGTTCGTTCTGTTTTACTGTACGGCTACGAAACATGGCCATTAAGAGTAGAAGACACCCGAAAGCTACAAGTATTTGACCACAGATGCCTTAGAAATATTGCTGAAGTCTGCTGGCATCAACGAGTAAGTAATAGTGAGGTTAGACGCAGTGTATTAGGGAATGATAGTAAATCAGTTGATGAAGTTGTGAATTTTCATTGACTGAGATGGTTGGGCCACGTGTTACGTATGTCTGAACACCGATTACCACGACAGACAATGTTGAATAGTGTTGGGGGTGGTTGGAAGAACGTAAGGAGTAGCCAAACCAAGACGTGACATCAGTGCTTGAAGTCACTAACTTCTAAACTTAGCCATGTTTGTAGGTGCAGACTACTTGGTTGGGGTCCGCGCGACTATCGTAACCAATGGTTGGAGATTCTAAGTGACATGTCTCAGAATCCATCACAATGGCGTCGGTCTATACACTTTCTGTCTTCCCTTAAACTAAGAGACTAAAATCGCTTCATATCTTTCTTTCTACGAACTAATTCTTTTTCCTGTTCTATATCCTTATATGCAATCTTTCTTTTATATATTACCACCATTAAATTAACTACTTCTATGAATCCGGTGTTGATCTTGTTGTGCTAGTGAGGTATAGCAACTTGGGTCGATACATGTATGTGCCTGGTCCTACGTTGTGGCTGACTGACTGACCATGGAAAACTTCGAAGCGCAGGATGGCCGTTTAGTCCTATTGTAGGACTCCTGCTTGGCAGTGTGCATCCAAGCTCCCGCTTGCAGGATTCGAGCTCACGGCCTTCAGTCTCACGCGCGAACGCTTTAAATCTAGACCTCTGAACCAGCATCTAACGATGTTAATGTTTAACTTCCATCGATCCATGAATAACTGCACGAACATTCATCCACTCTCTATGGTAGATATATGTCTCTATCCGATGCGGGAGACTGAAAATCCTGGGTTCAAATCCTGAGTGGTCACCGCTGAGGAGTATCATGTTGTATCATGCCGTTCAGTATTTCATAAGTGTTCATAACTAGCATTTTATATAAATATAATTTACAACCTCTTTTTTTTCGCGCAAAAAACAACTTTCAATAGATAGAAACTCAATTATTTAATGAATAAGTACGATACATTCAAACTATATTCAGTTTTTTTTTTAAAATTGTATTTCGGTTATTGATTAATATTAGATACCGATTAATGAATGTTGAGTGAATGTGGCATATCAAGTTGTAATTTGTATTGAAATAGAGAATGATTAATGAATCTGAGCTTAGCAACATGTACATAAAGCTGAAAATTCTATTTGATAATCTGATGAGACTATCATTCATGGATAACCTTGGAACGACGCCAAAGCGACCTTGAGAATGTCCACCAACATACAATTGATGGTTAGGGATAGAAATTAGATTTAAGGTTTTCATTATGAATTGACAACAGCTAAACTACCAAGACGCTATTTCACCGAATGGATGAATGAATTTCGCGCCAAAATCCAAGGCTTATTATCTTATCCCTGATTGGTTCGTCTAAATATTCGAGTCACACCTATAATGTCTCAATATATACGAAATAGCTAAATGGGAAATTTTCATAAATAGTCGAATTACTGATCAGGTTTTCTTAAATGAATTAATATTCATTAAATATTCAATAAACAAACTTATTTCTATATTTTTAATAGTTGAGATCATGAGTTAATTGAAGCTAGATCACGATGGAAAACCTGGAAGCACTAGACGGCCGTTTCGTCCTATTGTAGGACTCCTTCTTGGCATTGCGCATCCACGATCTCACATTGCGAGATCCGAACATACGGCATTCAATGATGTTAATGTCTCACTTCAACTAATCCACGGAATTAAACGACGTGATGAGTTTCGATCTCACAACAGACCTGGTTGAACTCCACTCGTCACTTTAATTATTATTACGTAATCAAAAGAATTAACTCTTTCTGTGAGATCTAATCATCCTGAGATGAATTCTCTGTAGGATTGTGGATGTACACTGACAAACATTTCTATGCTAAAATGAACCAACCATCCAATCTTTCCAAACTTTTAATTATTTTCTAACTTACACCTGTTTATGATTTTAATAACATTAATTTAGAATTCAATCATTCAAATTTACCGATTCATCGTGTAGTACCAAGAAGATTGTAAGATGGTGGAAGAGATTTGTAGATCAGATGGATGATTTTGATGAAGTTTTGTTCTCTGAGCTGGATGGTTTACTCGTAGAGCTCTCACTATTCTACTGAACGAATATCCTTAGCACAAATTAAAGTTTGATGTTCAGAAGAATGATGAAAGCTCCATGGAGAAAACCATCCATCTCAGAGAAGAAAACTTCATCAAAACCAAGAGGAATGACTTAAACATAAGAATTTAGACTACTGGATTCATTTCAGTGTACAATAGAGAATTGATAGTACTTAAGAGTTTTATAGTACATTGTTCAATATAATAGATGATATTACTTAAATATGGAAACTAATTATTATATCATATAAACTCTTAATAAAACCATTTTACTAAATAGTAAACCAAAAATAAAACTGATATATAAATGTTCATACATGTCTGAAGTGGGAACATCGATTTTGAGATGCAGATACATTCAGCTGACGAGTCCCAAATAGGATGAAACGCGCGTCAAACTACAATAAACTACTAGCCTCTATCCATCTTCACTTATAAAGCTTGTGACTTAAGGGAATATCGAAAACAGTTCACACAGGATGCACATATACCAATAAGAGATAGATTGATCATTTGAAGTCCTAAATAACAATGAGAAGATACAAGTAAACAATACTAAGTGAATTTAAACTTCACTCTGTTACACAAATGGCAAATGGCTATTAGGACTCAGTAGGTAAGCGAATAACGCGATGGTATTCCAGTTCCGTAGTGAACATCAACTCTGAGATGCAGGTACATCTAATTGACCAGCCCCGAGTAGGACGAGACGCACATCCTGTATTCCACTGCTAGCCACTATCCATTTTTGCTTATAATGCTTGTAACCTAAGACAATATCGAGGCAACCCGCACAGTATGCACATGTGCTAATAAGAAACTGATCAATTGCCATCCTAAACATCAATGGGAAGATTCATGTAAACAACAATACCAAGTAAGTCATCATTAATATTAGCATACTAAGTTACCAAATGATTAAAACTATATGAGTAAATCATTTGTTGCTAATTCAATGATCTAAAAATTGATCCATTCCATTCTATTTGGTAATCATTAACTAGATATATCTGCATCCTAGAGGTTATTTACACTTTGTGACTCGAACCTAGTACTTTTCTTTTTAAACTTCATCATGTTATTCACTTAGCTAGTGATTCCAAGCGCAGAAAGTGGATAGAACACATATTAAGGAAAGCACCTAATTGCATCACAACACAAGTCCTCATCACTTGAAATCCTCAAGGTCAAAGGAGAAGAGGAAGATCAAAGAACACATTTCACCAAGAAATGTAGACAGATATGAAAAGAATGAACAACATTTGTATAGAACTAGAAAAGAAAACTCAAGACAGAATAGGTTGAAGAATGCTGGTCGATGGCCTATGCTCCTTTATTGGGAATAACAGGTGTAAGTAAGTAGTTATTCCAAGTCTTATGAACTTTAGGATACAATTACATCCATTTGACAAATCTTAAATAGAATTTGAAAAAACCACACATAACAGATTTCATTCTTAATTATTATTCATCACTCTTCATAACATCAACTTACCTGTTGCTTTATCTTCACATATAAGACATAACATACCAGATTTAAGTATATTTTGATTTCGACATTTTACATCTTCATCAGCATCATCATCATTATCATCAGAAATAGATAATTTTGTTTGTGATTTCAGACGATTATCATTTGAATGTCGAATAGTATATTTTGTTGTATCTACTAAAGGATCATTACTACTATGATTATTGTTAGAAGTAGTAGGTGTAATAGTAGTATCAATTCTGTTATTAACATCTTCAATATCTTGTTGTTGTTGTTGTTGTATTGGATGATTAGGATGTAATGTGAATAAATCAATGGATTCATGATGATGTTGATATTGTGGATCATTTAAATAATATTGATAATAATTATAATTTGATGAACATGATAAGTTAGGTTGATGAATATAAGAATTGATAGAATAATCTGTATTATGTAAAGTGACAACAACTCCAGTTGTTACTGCTACAGCAGATGCAGCAGCGGCGGCAGCTGCGGCTGCTGCTGCCATAGCTGCTGCAGTAGCAGTTGCTGAAGCATTAGTTACATTATGATTAAAAGATAATTCATTATCATTGATATCTTCCATATATGATGTTGTATTATTAGTAGTAGTCATTGAAGGTGTATCATTTATTTGAAATAGTTGTTCATCTGTATCTATTTATAATGTATATAAGGTTGTTGTAATTGATTATTACAAGATGAATGATGTCTTTGTTGAGAAGGATCAAGATGATTATGTTCATAATGATGATGAAGATGATGATAGTGATCATGATGATGAAGATTACGATAATAATCATTATTATTATGAATGTAATTATTTTGTTGACTTGTATGATAAATAGGATCTTTAATTGATGGAAATGTTACATAATTTGTAACATAATGAACTGATTCAGTATTATTGATTGTTTTTTCATTATGATCCATTATAACATGGCAAACTGTTATTTTATATTCTAAGTTTTATAAGAGATAAAGATGAACATGTATACATATTAAAGATGAATGGTCTTATAGATAAGAATCAACAAAGTACTTAGCAGAAAGCCTTCATAAGTCAACTGAAGCTAGACCATCATTGAAAACCTGGAAACACTAGACGACCGTTTTGTCCTAGTAAGGGACTCCTCAGCAGTGCGCTTCCACGATCCCGCCTCGAGAGATTCGAATCCAGGACCTATTGGTCTCGCACGCGAGCGCTTAAACAGTTGAACCGGTATTCAATGATGTTAATCTCTTACCTCAACTAATCCACGAAATTGAGTGACACATCCATCGTTGTCTTCAGTGAGTTACTATCTCATAACAGACCCGGTTGAACTCCACCGGTCACTGCTTCTCACTAGAACTCCAGGAAATATCTCCTGGAGATAGTCACCAGTGAGCATACGATGATTATTATCAGAATGGGTTTTGTTGAGATTAAAGTAATTTTGACAGTTGAGATCATGAGTCAATTGAAGCTAGACCACTATGGAAAACCTCGAAGCACTGGACATCCATTTCGTCCTAGTATGTGACTCCTCGACAGTGCGATCCCACGATCACACCTCTCGAGATCAGAACTCAAGACCTATCGGTCTCGCACGCAAGCACCTAACCATTAGATCACTTAACCGGCAACCAACAGTGTTAATCTCTTACTTTAACTAAGCCACGAAATCGCACCATCGTCCACCGATTCATATATCCAACTATTTAATTTACTATGATATCCACAAAATCCCTTCTGATAATAATCATCGTATGCCCACTAGTGACTGGCTTCAAGAGGTATTTCCTGGAGTTCTAGTGAGAATTGATTGATGAATTCATAGGTTCCATATGATTGAGAGGGTATCATTTTGAAACGAGACTTATGTGATTTAGAAAGTTTGTGTAGATGAATTCAGTCCATATTGTGAATTGAATATAACTTGAAATGTTTCTAAAATATATACTAAATGATATACTTTTTCGATTATTATTAAGTTATGGAGATTGTTTAGTCTTATTGAGATCACTAATTACTGAAATGATATAAGTAGTAGATAGACGTTTCATCGTAGTGTTGGACTTCTTAAAAGTAGAGATCGACACTTGTACACCCAGGAATTGAATTTAGATCATTTATGTTTCTAAAGTAAAAGCTTAGCCTTTAAACCACTGACCGTGATCCAATGGTCTCTCTATATAGTTTAGTAAATTAACCCTAGGTTATAAATATCAAGCAAGAGCAGTATATTCACAACTGAAGGACATCTGTAACTCAAAACAACTGTCTGTCAACCAACACCAAGGTCAGGATTTTCAATACAAATGTCAAGACAGTTCTCTATATGGGGTGGAAACTTCGAGAACTACGAAAGCCATCATCCAGAAAATACAGGTGTTTATCAACAGTTGTCTACGCAAAATAGTTCAGATATGTTGGACAGACACTTAGCAACAACCTATTGTGGGAGATAACAAACCAAATCGGAGTGGAGGAAAGAAATCAGGAAGAAGTGCTGGAAGTGGATACGACACAAGTTGAGAAAAGCACCAAAGTGCGTCATTAACGCAAGCCCTCACTTGAAATCCTCAAGGTCAGATGAGAAGTAAAAGACCAAAGAACACATTACGTCGGGAAATGCAGAGAGACATGGGAAGAATGGACAAGAATTGGATGGAACTAGAAAGGAAGGCCCAGTACAGAGTGGGTTAAACAATGCTGGTCGATGGTCTTTGCTCCTCCATTAGGAGTAACAGGCGTAAGTAAGTAAGTAAGTATAAATATCAATACTAAGGTTAGACTTGATAGTTTCAAATAAATTGAACATTGGATAGAATGTTAATAATAAATATATTTTTTGTTATATATGAATTCGTTCTGATGATTATCATATACTCACGAATGACTAATTTCAAGATGAATTTCCTAGAGTTCTAATGAGAAACAGTGATCAGTAGGGTTCAATCCATGTCAGATATAAGACAGTTATCCACATCAGACAATAGATGAAATCTTCTGCCAAATCATGAATTGATTGAAGTTAGACATTAATTATTGTCAGATACCAATTCACTAGTGTGGAGCTTAAGTGTTTACCATGCGACCTCGAAGACATTAGGTTCAATTTCTATGTCTAGAATCATGGATGCTCTCTCTACTGAAGAGTTCATTACTTAGAACAAAACATTGATCGAGTACTCTTAGATTTTAATTATTGATTTATCTTAGATCGACTCATTGAATTCAACAGGTTACATTAAAAGAATCATTAGATGAATATAAAAGTAATAAAAAAATTCGATTAAAGGTCAAAATCACTGTTACATAATAAGTGGGCAGATCAACATTATTGTAAATAAGAATAAAAAATAAAAAAAAGAAATAATCGATATTGTATCATTGAATGAATTAAACCCTTAATGATAAATATTTTTACATATTGAATTATGATTGCATACATTTGACATGTAACTTGAAATAGAAAGAATAGACAATAAAATATAATTGAACTCATTAGTTTTAATTGAAGCTAGACCATCATGGAAAACCTAGAACCATTGGATGATCGTTTCATCTTATTGTAGAACTTTTCTTTGACAGTGCATATCCATGATCCTACTTCACGAGACTCGAACCCATGAACTATCGATCTTATGCGCGAGCATTTAATCACTAGATGGAGTATCGAACAGTGTTAATGTCTGATAATAAAAAGTATTTGTCTTTGGAATCTAGAACAAGTCTTTGATTTATATAGGAATTGTCGGTACTCAGTCCTACGCAAAGTATAACTTATCACGTCTGTATATCGGTTCTAGTTGCCAGTATAATATTTGTTAAATATACGGGGATGTTAAGAAATCTTTAACTTTAAGACTAATCATAGGGTGAATCATTATCTTCATTATGTAATTATCAGATAATTGGCTCTTTATACTCTTTACTACTATTTAATTATCAGGGGGGGTTTTTTGTACGGTCTACGGTGACGCAATTTTGTGGATTGGTTACATTTACACATTAACACGGTTGGATGTTCGCTCAGTAGTCTTGTGGTTAGGCGCTCGCGTGCGAAACTGATAAGTCGTGGGTCCGAATCTCAAGGCGTAATCGTGGATGCTCACAGCTAAGGAGTGTCATACTAGGACGAAATGGATGTCCAGTGCTTCGAGGTTTTCAATGATGGTCTAGCTTCAATTGACTCATGATTTCAACTATTGAGATTACTATTGAATTATAGTTAATTAATTCATAAACTCTTATTCCATGCTCTGTCAATTTTTCTGCTTGGCTGTACATAAACCATATTTTTTTAAGATGGTGGTTGGAGGTATTCAACAGGAAACGCTGGACCGTGGTTTCGTGCTACTTGGCACTCGTCAGCAAGGTGTACCTGTAATCATGAGGAAACTGGTACTTCCTGGTGGTTTCAATCCCATGTCACCCAGCTTCACAGTCAGAGACGTTCTCCTTGAGCTATCCGAGCCGCGACCGACCTCCTGTAGAACTGAAATGTAATCACAATTGATTGATCACCACCCAGTGATCAATCACTCGTGACATAAATTTTTACTCACGATGGTTTGTTGCCCCATAATAAGTCTAGATTAAACTACTAGTGTTCATCTGGATACAAATAGAAAGTTGACTGTTTGTTATATTCTACTCTGATCGGATACTAAGCTACAAATGAAGCCTGCAACCTGAATCGACTTTTTTTAAAGAATTATGACATTCGTTGCCAATGGTTAGTTGTTATCGATCATAGTGTCTTGTTGTTTAAAACTAAAGTTGTTGGTCTATAAGTAAAATGTAGTCTCAATGGTTCAATTAATTAGAGCTATATGAGGATTTAAGGATATATCTACTATATGTACATCCATATGGATATGGATAATCCATCTTTTCAAACCTTTATAAAGAGTAAAACAAACTTTTAAGAGTTCCCACATTGTTCCAACTTATGGTCAGGTATTTAGAGTATTTGGTACATGAATAAAGGTTATGATGGTTTTCTTCACGAACTGATATCACATATTATGTGCAAAATTCTTTGTAATCAACTAAATAAATAAATTTCTAATGGTTAAATTCATGAGTCGATTAAAGCTAGATCACTATGGAAAACCTGGAAAAACTGAACGGTCGTTTCATTCTAGTTTAGGACTCGTAAGTAATGAGCATCTACGATCCTACATGAGGGGCTCGAACCCAAGACCTTCAATCTCATGCACAAACACTTAACTTCTAGACCATTGAGCTCAAACTCAAAGATCCTCTGTTCGAATCCCACAAGCGGGATGGTAGATATGCACTGCTAAGGAGTCCCATACTATGATAAAACAACCATCTAATACTTCCAAGTTTTCAATAGTACTCTAATATCAATCAGTCCATGAATTTAACTATTAAAACTTACTATAATCTCTACAACCCCCCCCCGTTTTCTGACTTGATGAAAGATAAAAATAAAGTTAATTCATTTAAACAAATTTCTAAATGATCATTGTATAAACGATACTGAGTTCGAATCCCATAGTGAATATCAACTCTGAGATGCAGTTACCTCCAGTTGATGAGTTGAAAATAGGATGAGACGCGCGTCAAACTGGATTCCACTGCTAACCACTATCTATCTTTGCTTACATTGTATAAACAGTTATAATTCATTGAGTGAATAGATAAGTAAATATTGAATAGTGATTCATAGTTACTACCATGTTGTCATGTAAAAACCTTGAAAATATATCAGTTTGTAGATTTATATGCATACAATAAGACAAAATATTGTAAATACCGTATTTATCAATGTGTTAAATGGTATAACGTTACACGTTTATTCTATGAGTTGAATTCTAGGCGACCTGTTTGAATATCTGGGCTACTTGTTCCTATCATCTGGATATTTCAACAAGTTATCTGTTTTCATACATCATTATGCCCATTGGTCTCG